GTAAATCATTCGAGCGAGTAATGGACATTTCTCGCGAGAAGAATACTATACTGTTTCTATGACTTATCACAGTAATATTTCAAAATGAAATTCGTGAAAAATTTTCACAATGAGATTATACCATCAAATTGCATTAAAAAAAGCCATCTGAGAAGCATTCTGAAATATTCTATTGTGTTATTTTATTCAATTTCAAACAGTTTGAATATTGTGTGGCTGAAAAATGCAGAAACAGCAATAGAAGTGATTTGAACCCATGGTCACTAGTACTCAAACAACTGCTCCGCGCGAAGCTGCTTAGAAATTAGTGTGTTAGCCTGTTAGAAACGCAAGAAAGAAAATTTAGTAACAGCATAAAAATAATTAGAAAAGGTAAAAAGTGCTTAACGAAAGTAATTTTTTTGAGAAGAAAATTGTTTTTATCGGCCTTCTTTGGATAGTTTCTTCTTCCACGATCTGAAAAATATAAAAAATTGTAATGGAGAACATTTTTACATGTATAGAAAGGTAAACTTTTTACTTCGCTCCGATAAGTTACTGCGTAAATTCAAAATTTTTCACAAAGAAAAATTATCAATCAGTTATTTTTGCCTATCAGAAAAGAGCCAAAAAATTATACAATACTTATCTTAACGTTTCGGGGGCTAAAATCTGCCTCCGTCATCAGAATTGGACAAAATCTAAGTCTGAAAAGCAGGTTTTTCCTGGTCGATGGATTTGCAGAAAAGATCCTACAGAATGGCCACCAAAGTCTCCGGATCTCACTCCTGTATATTTCTTTCTATAGGGTATTTGAGACAAAATTCGAGAGAAAATATGAGGCATTGCAGAGAAGTAACTCCCGAGATTGTCAAACATGTGAGGGCGGCAATAGAAGGTCGTTTGTGCCACTGTATAAAAGTTGGTTGAAACGTTTTCAACATTTACCATAGAATTTTTTTTCTCATTGTCCAGTCATCAGATTTTGATTCAAGAATTAATAGAAAATCTTTTTTTCTGATTTATTGCTTCCATATTTGTCTCTAGAATGAATATTTCAAAATGTAGCCTCCTGTATAATTGTTTCCTGCAAATCATTGTTTCAAAAGTTATTCAGGGTGGCTCGTTTTCAACTCAAATAATTTGTAGCTCCCGAACCATAAGCTTGAGACCATATGTTTTATACTTCGTTGAAATCTGCTCTTCATGGAGCATCTGATAATGGGAAACAATATAGGGTGATCCATTTAAAAAAAAAATGGTGACATACTCTGGGGGTGCGATAGGGGAAGTAACATCAAATGTGAATATGTCAGAATGTGTCCCCCTGTATACCATTGTTGACGTGTTTTTTTATTTTTCCTGAAAATCATTGTACCAAAAGTTATTCAGGGTAGCTCGTTTTAAATTGAATGCACTGTATATATTACTTCAATAGGCGTACTGCATTCTCAATGAATCGAATGAATGAATATACAAAATTTATTCGTAAAAAAATCTCATTCATAATAAAATAAATAACAGATCAACTACGACAACTGTGAAAATATGTCCAGTAGTAACCAAGATTCTCCAACAAATAAGTAATTAGTTGAAGCGGATTGAAAAAACATTGCTTTTTTGAAGGCGGTACAAATAGATATTTCTTTGAATTATACCGTCAACAGACACACTGCACCCATCAATAGGACCGACTTGGTTTTTTCCATAGGAAGAAAATATTACATGAATTTGTGTTGGGAGTTTAAAGGCCATGGTAGAGGGGTTAGTCTTAGTCTTTGTCTTTGTGATATTCTTCAGTTTACTTCGAGAGCACGTTAAATAAAAAACTAGTTGTTCGGGAACCGTGAAGCGTCCGAAACTGAAGAAGTCAAGAATTCTAATAGGAGAACAATACACTCTTTTTACATAAAGTTTTGTCAGTTATTCGTGAAGACAGTTTTTTCCCTGATATAGGAAGAACTAGATTATGGAAGCTGAAATTAACTTTTGGAAAACAAGATAGAAAGGGCATGTTAATAGAAAAATCAGAGATTGTGGAATGGAGAAGAAACTGTTTGAGAGAAATAAAAAAAGCTAGAACACTGGGTTAATCTATTTTTTATTTAGATGAAACATAGGTCAATGAGGGTCATACCGTCTCGAAGGTTTGTCAAGACCAGAACATCGAAGCCCTAAAGTGTGTCTCTCAGTACAGCCACACTTTTCTACTTCTTGAATATGGCTTCGTAGCCGAAACGTCAAATAATGCAAAATTTTAAACGCGGTTCAACCCGAAACTCATATGTTCAAATTTCTAACCGCGGAAACCTATTCTATTTGAATCCTGGTGACGTTTCGAAGACTTTATCCATCTTCATCATCAAACCTATGACCAATTTGATATTATCATTGTCAATAATAATAATATCAAATTGATTTACATCACAAGACGAATTAAAACTACAAATTATAATGTTTTGATTGAAATAATCTGGACAAAGAAAATGAATAGTCTTTAAAACGTCACCAGATGATGCAACATCAGTTTTCACGACATTTCAATTATCTTCGCATCATGCAGAATATATCATTGGAAAATTTATATTGATACCCCAGTCCCACGCATATTAATACTATATTTAACGCAATATGATAAACAGCGTCGGCCGCCTCTTTTGAAGTTTTTTGTCGCAAGTCACTTCTTAGCAGCGTCCTCCAAGGACATAGCGGGGATAAATACTCAGTGACTTTTTGGATGAATTGCAGTGCCACTTGCTTGAAACGACTATGTTGCTTTCTTCACTCACACAATACCGAATGTACTTTAGCACATGGGTATTTCAGGCTGAATGTTTAATATAAAAATAAAATGTTATACTGAATATTTAGATTCACAAAATTTAGAGCATATTCAGAGCTAGAAAAGGTAAGTTTTCACCAAATATCGTGAAAACGAATTAGTTTTATAGGAGAAACAAAATAATATTTTCTACAACACAACTATCGTTCTTCATTCAATAGAAGGTATAGTTTCAGTTGAGATCATGAAAAACAATTTTTTCACCTCTGAAATTTCCCCTATTTCGTCTCACGTACCTTGGTAGGTAGGAAGGTCTAAAGTGGGTGGGTCTATTCGACCCACCACCGCAACCCATAAGGGTTTATTGTGGCTCACACCTATTCACACTCGGCCAAATAAACCCAGCTTCCTAACGAAGCCGATTAGTTTGTATGGTGAGTGGTCTTTCAGGTCAGATGGTGAGAGTACGGATCTGCCGAACTCAAAGAACCTGATTCGGTCCCCAGCAGGGCAGGCACAAAGTATATGCTCTGTAATTTCATCATTTTCCAGAAAGAGGCGACACACACACTGTCTTCCGACAGTCCAAGTCTCTGCATGTGATGATTCAAATGACAGTGACCTGTAAGAAGGCCTGTTAGACATCGTAGTTCATCCCTGCTGTAGTCCAACAACTGTTTGGAATCAAGCTTCGAAGGGTGCAGCTTCATTGCCTTTCAGGCCAGTATGGCGAGGAATCCAGACCAGAGAAAATCTGTTTAGTTTTCCAATCGAGGAGAGTCTTTTTTGGTAGTTTGCTACCAATTCAGACGTTGCTCGGTAGGGGCCAAGAGCTTCCAACGCCGCTTGACTGTCCGAGAATATTTTTATTGACTTGTGAGTGAGGTTGGTTTTATCCAATCTCTCCGCACACAATTTAATAGCGCAAATTTCCGCTTGAAATACAGTTGCATAAGTTCCTAGGCAGGTAGGTAACTCTGTCCAGAACACCAGAATCGGAAGGTGTTTTTGATCCAACTGTGAACCAACAACTATCTGCTCTTAATATTTCCTTCTCTCGCAGGAATAGTACTTTATAAGGCAGTTCGTAGTTGACAGTTGGATGCATAAAGTCAGAGGTCATTTCCAGAATGCTGTGTGACTTCCAATGTCAACCAACAGTCTATTGCACTCTGCATTGAATTGATTTGTGCAATTGGCAATGTGCACAAGTCTGTATGCAGCCCATCTAGCCTCTCTTTCCAAAAAAATGTGGAGAGGAGGTGGATCTAGAAGGATCTCCATGGCCGCTGACGGTGTGGTACTGATGGCCAGACAAGCCTGTCTCTGTAAGCCAGAGAGCTTCGCTTGGGCCGTTTTCTGTAAAGCCTTCGGCCACCAAGCAATTGCACCATAAGTGATCATTGGTCTGACAATCATCACATAAATCCAATGGATTTGTTTGGGACCTAAACCCCAAGTTTTACCACAAATCCTTCAACATGTCCATAGAGATAGTCTGGCTTTGTGTAAAACTTTCTCCAAGTGAGCGTTCGTTCCAGCTCACGTACCTTGGAGTATCATAATATAATAACATAGTATTATAATATATACACTAAGATTTCCACAAAACCATAACGACAACGTCGTTATGGCTTTGGGATCGACAGAAGACTCAGTCGTAATAGAGAAAAGTCGTATTTTTTAAAATACCACATTCAGATATAGTCCAAAACATGCATTCGTTCCAAAGTACCGGTATTCCGTAATCCTTGAATGTGATTCTATCTTTATATCAGCAGCACTAAGAAATGTTACAAACAGGCTTGTTGAACCGAGAAAGATATTTCGAAAACCGGAGAAATTTCTAGCGTATCGAGCATAATATGTGTCCATCGATAAAAAATCATATATATCATGTTCACCCACATAATCGCTCAGTCAGTAAATTGAAGCTCACAGCAAAAACATTGCATCTTAGTGATCTTACGTACACATCTTGACAGTTCATTCATAATAAATAAACGAGTATTAACGTGTTTCAATTTGGATTGCCGCCAATTTAAACTGATAGGTTGGCTGTAATACAACATGATGTTTTGTACGTAATTAATTGTAAAGATCATCCAACATTCGATACACGTGTAGTTTCTAAGTCAAAAGTTTCACCGCATCAGAAAATGATAGTTTAGAGTAGCAATCTGTTACTGTTTAGTAAAGAGTCTTCAACTTTCAATTTATTATGTGTTGTATTTTTAAGCAGGGGAACCAGAGCCTAGGGATTATGATAATTGAAGGGAAGCATGCCGAAGTCGGACAAGGTATTTTCATTTCTGATATCCAGGAAAGCAGTTCGGCTGAAAAGGTAAGTTTGCAGATTATATTAAAGAAAATTATGAAGTTATTGAAATTTTGAATATTCAGAGTTAATCCTTCAGAAGTGTTTAAGTAGGCGTCAACTTCTAATCAGCAAAATCTCAAATTTGAATCATTGAAAGTATAATAGTTAATTATTTTCTTGAGGTAGTGTCTGGCCTGAAGAAGTTATTGTATAGCGAAACTCGTGTTGCGTTTTGGTAAAACTATGTAGTGACAATCTCACAATAAAGTGTTTTTTGAACTGACGAGAATCTCGTTGGAAATCGATCTAGAATTCGTATTAGTTCGGACAAGCGACAATGAACAAGTAAAATAAATGCGACTATTGTAAAATATAGTGTTCAGTTTCAATTTTGAATTGTTAATAAAACTATTGCATTTGGTTGAAAGTACCAGTTACTTATTTATCAAGACCCCTCATGGGCGAAACATTGATGACTGAGAATAGGTCCTCATAATGGTGGAGTAAGTGGCGGTACTGAAGAAAGAAGAGTAAAGCGCATTCAAATTTATAGTAAATTTTCTAAAGAGACTCTAAGAAAATGGCGTGTATTCCATTGATCTTTGAGTTAGTGAAACTCTGAGAGCCAATGAATCTACAAATTAAAGAACAAAAAGGATAGTACAAGCTATTAAAACAACTATCCATAATGAATGATAAGAAAAAAGAACTGGAAGAACAAAAACGGAAGATAAAAAAGAACAGTAGATCGTTATGAAACTACAAAAACAAGAAAAAATGAAAAGAAGTTGAGAAAATAGGAAATTATAGTGACAGTTGAACGATTGACGTTAACCGTTAAGCCGCGTACTCACTAGACGAACGAAAGCGAATGAACAGAACCGCACGTATACGTTCGGAAACTGTGTACCAAGAAACGCACGTGCGTTTGCTTTCGGCAGAGTTCCGCCAGCAGTCGATACTTCAAAGGATTTTCGTCCGCATGCGGTGGGCAATGTGCTAGTATGTACGTCTAAGTGAATGCATTCGTTAAAAAATATGTAAACAAACATAAGCCAGGGGCACGTGTGATTTAGTTTGGTCATGTAGTTTGGTTGTTTTTAGTTATTTACGTTTATTTGTATAATTCAGAAAATTGAATTATAAGTATTTTGTAATGGAGTGGAGTAATACACAAGTTCTGCAACTAATAAATTTGTATAAAGAACATGAATGTCTGTGGAACCCAAAACATGATAAGCACAAGAGTAAAACAGCCAAAATTGATGCCTGGAACCAAATATCTGAACAAATTGGTAGTGATACAGTTGACATCAAAAAAAAGATAGAGAGCAATGTAAGCAATAACCTTTCTGCAGCAGGTACAGCTTCTCTAAATGATGTGTCCTTTTTTTAAATTTATTTAGCAACAACTCGAAGTCGGTAGTTTTCATTCTGCAGAAGTTTTCATAAAGACCATATTCTTTCCCAGCTGTTGAATCGCACATTAACTGTGTACCACCGTAACGTGCCCTACTTTTAAATAATGATGCTGTCCACCACCGTCGTTTTCTTTGTTTCGATTTAACATCTTCATTTATTATGATATATGAAGCACTAGCTATAGCAATTATATTTTCATTGTCGAATGACATTGTTTCCAATGAAAACTTAACGTCATAATAATACTTAAGCCTTCAAAATGACACTGCACTGAATATGGTACGACAGGTGCGGCAAAATACAGCACCGCAGGAATTCGTGTGTAATCATTCGCCAATGTGGACAGTTGACAACAAACACACGCGCATGCTTTAGTTCGTCTAGTGAGTACTCGGCTTTAGAGCAACACTATAATAAAAATTAATTAGGGCAAACTATTCTTTCAACAACAAATAAGCGAAAAAGTATTTCGGCGACCAAGTGAAAAAAGTTGAAAACGAGTTGGGAAAAATTAACGAGCGGGCCATGAAAGAAATGAACAACAAATAGAATGAACAAGTGAATAATTCGAAAGGCCAAGTCAAGCATACCAGCGAAACTGTTCAACCGATACACCTTGGGCAAATTTCATTTATATTGTTGAGGACATCCCTACCAGCAAAGACAAATTATGATTCATCTGACGCCTCCAACTTCCGATGGCCAATCATAGTAGCCCATGTACAGCTTGGCAAATTTTAACTTGTGAGACATACATTTCAAGAGATATCGGTAAGGGTTCAATAAAAGATAAATATGTTAAAATTACTAGAATTTTACTATCACTAGTATTTATGTACGTGTGATGCACTGTTTGGAACCTTTGGTGTACCTAGTAATGAAACTTTCTGACAACCCCGGTAATTTCTATAATCTCCAGTGTTGAATTTTGTAGTTGGTACCCTTGTTTATTGAACTACCTCTCTTTCCAGCTTACCTACAAACTACTTATATAACCTCGTTTCCAGATGAATATTACTGGAGTTTTTTCCTAACACCAAATCATTATTATAACACTTCGACACGTGTTTCGATCACCAAGTGATCACCTTCAATAGATCTTCCTGTTGAAGATGATCACTTGGTGATCGAAACAAGTGTCGAGGTGTTAAAATAACGGTTTGGAAATAACTCCAGTAATATTCATTACTACACCAAAGGATCCAAACAGTGCATCACAAGTCGATTTTAGATATCAAATGTATTAGTTAGCTTTATACTTGAAATTAGACAGAAGTGTTTTCATTCATTTCATTAAAGTGATCAATTCTTGTGTTTCTTGAAAGACTTGAGAGCAATATTATTGTGAAAAAGGTAATATTGATTAAAAAGGTTGCTCACCCCTGTTCCAGGGAGTTGATTTTTTATGTTATCGAAAGGCAGAGATCATGCCGTCATAAGTGATAGTGGCATTTTCATTAGCCATGAGTTGTTATGCCGAACAAAAATGACAAATTACTTACAGAAGAGATTTTACTTGCCTATTTTTATGACAGAGATCCGAAACTGTGTGTCATAGATCTGTCATTTTTCAACACTGGTACTGGAATGTGTCATTTTTTTACAATTTTAAAAATTTAACATACATTTTCATAATTTCAGACTAACTCTTTTCTTTCAGGCTGGATTGGAAATTGGAGAAATGATCTTGGCTGTCAATAAAGACTCTCTGGTTGGTTCCAATTACGAAACGGTATGTGTATTTTTTCAAACTTTCCTGGAAATGATATGAAATTGAAAACTTTATCTTTGACTAGCTCTTAGTCTCGAAATTTATAAAACTAGATCCCCACTGTTGAGAAAATTCTTTTAAAAAATAAGGCCGAAAGAAATATAGGAATTATAACACTGTGAATTTTATCCTATTTTCTGGATTCTTCATAATTTCTGACACGAGAAATGTTAATCAGTTATTTCAGTAACTGGTTTATTATGCTATCAATGTTCTATTGTGGAATCATTTTTTGCTGCTACTTGTTAATAATCTTCCCAAGTATATCACTGGAGAAAAAATAACCATTTTTGCATGTGTTACCACCATCACTGTTTCAGGAGATATCTGAGGAACTCGGAGTAGAGATTGTAACATTCATCAATGATTTAAATAAACTGTTTCCATCAACCTTCATTTGAGAAAAAACAATACTGGTAGATACATTTGGTATCAACTCAAATGTTGAGAAACGCGTCGAATGCGTTTAATTTTCTCATTTGATTTTATTTACTCAAAGCTTCTTTTGCTAATCTTCAAGTCATATCGGGATAAGAAAAGGTTGATAAACTATACTTTGGCTTGAAGTATATGTCCTACGAAAATATAGTACCTTGGGGTGAAGAAACTGACTGGCAAAGGGTATTCATAGGTTAAAAAATAATTACTTGTCTTCTATTCAACAATAATTATGATGAAAGTTATTTTATATTCAAAGAAAAGCTAAGAGGTTTATATAGTCTGAAATGCGTAACTTTTCGATTGTTAACCAGCATGAATATGAAACAAGGTGCAGTAAACTACAAATTCCAAAATTTAAAACATCAACATGCAATAATTGCAATTGCATTACTCTCTTCAATGCGCTTCCTTACTGTATCCAGAGCATCAGCTGTTATTCCAGGCTTGAATATAGAGGAGAATGTTTCATTGAAAAATAGTTCATATACCTTGAAGTGTAATAATTAAAAAAAATTGAAATGATTCTCTTATTTTATAATAATGACTAATGTTTCAAAGATTTCATTTATGCAATAATAATATAGATGTTTTTCCTTTGATTGACTTGCCATGTGTAGTATATGTTATATTGGTGAATACATTCATTGTATTCTATCCAGAGGATGATTAACAAGAATTATAATTGAAGTGGGTATAATCTCCAGTTATGATAATTGTTGAGAAAGAGTAAACGGTGTTTTCCATAAAAAAACGCCAACAAGAGAAAACTCAATCCTAATTATCAAAGACGAACTAGAATTTAAAAGTAAATTCAAGTGTCCACATAGACCAACAAATAGGAAATCGTTTTTTAACTTGATGCAATGTTCACAACATACTGACGACTTGAAACAATGTTTCATTCAATCAGATTCGTTAGAATTCATTTTTTACAGGCTGCCAATCTGCTGAAAAGAACCGAAGGCTTGGTTACTCTGGTGGTATCAAATCCCGGTAAAAAAGACCCCAACCATTCCCATTCGCCAACCCCAACAATTTCAGCCAATAGCACAATTGTAGAAAATAACAAGAATGCTGTTACCAAACCTGCTACCCTGAAACCTACAGCACCACCATCTAGACCCACTACACCTGTACCTGGTATGATATTCTCATTTTGTAAATATTGATTACTTGATTACTTGTATACATTCAGATTATTTAGACCCAATTAGAAAAATAAAAATTTGTTGTGTCTGGTATATTGTATATAGACCTGGAACAACGCCACACTAAAATAACAAAATTAATAGAGAATGGATTTTTTTTTATAAAAATAAACAGGAAGAATCCAAGAGACACTAAAACTAATGAAAAGATCTCCAACTTTCTACAAGTATTCAATGCAATGGAATTGCAAGTTACTAATAAACTTTCCAAAGAGATTTGACAATTATCAAATATCATTAGTAGATTTAATTATTGTCAAATGAACCAATACACAAAATAAAGAAATAAAGAGATTTCAAAAACAATGGATTCACGACTATTCTATTCTTACGACTACAAACCTGAGTGCAATCAAATCTATAACAAACAGTTAACCTTCTTGGGATGAATACAGAACAGATCTAATAATGATTTCCCACAATCCTGTCAACAAAATAACATCTTAGAAATGTCAAAGCATATAAAGTATGGAAGGATTTTAAAAAGCTTTAACAAAAAATGTTGTTAAAAATGTTTTTTCTACACGAAGAAAAAATTCCCAATTCAAACATTTGCTACCCTGGAAATCCAGGAGCTAATAACGAAACTCAAAATATGGCCAGAAATTTCACCAATTCAGTGAATACATTTCTGAAAATAGTCAACAGTATTTGTGGATTCAAAAGTGGCCTCTGATTTGTGGAAGTCACTCCTCAATAAGTTGGAAGACGCCTCATTAAGAAAGATTTGAGTCCTGTAGCATATGAAATACCTAGTATGTTTTTACAAAAATATGGCACAACCTCAATAAGATGCCTGTTGAAAGCTATGAATAAATCAATGATGAGTGTAAAACTTTAAAATGTATGAAAGCATGCGAACATATACATCTTCAAATACATGCATTGTATCGTCCAACTAGTTTATTTTATGATTCCCTGCACATGCATGAAGAAAGTAATTGCAAAAAATTCGTAATAGCATACCTTTGACGCAACATGGCTTTTTACTTCAGACGGAGAGTTCTTACATCTATATAGAAATACCGTCACATTACCAGTAAAAGCCTCGAAGTTGAGGTATCTGACTCATAAAAAAAGGATATGTAAATGATAGTCAAAACAATATTGTATTTCAGGTGTTTGGGAAAAGTGGTTGTTTTTGATGTTATTTCATTATTTGAAAATAATTGCATGATGTTTAGAGGAGGTACAAAATTCATTTTTGTGAGTCATCTCTTCCTTTGTTACCATTTCACATTCGTGTAACATCATATTTGCTAAAATGGTTGCAAAAACTTCAAGGAAATGTACAAGACTTCAATTTTTCAATATATTTCAAGATTTTATTGTACCTTAGCACTAAGAGATGACGGAACTGCATACACCACACTGAAATAACAAAATTATAATAAAAATTTTCCATTTTGGTACACATTTTGGTAACATTTGTGTTGAGTTAAAATGAAAGTTTGTTTAGACTCAGGGTATTAATTCTGCAATTTTTCACAATGGATAGGTCACAAAAGTCTCAGTACAGAATTTTATAATTATATTCAAAAATTTTCCCAAGAAATATTTGAAAGAAAACTGCCAATTAGATGATCTTTGAATTATTAACATTCATACAGAATACCCAAAAACCATTTTCCTTTTTTATTTCAGAACCAGTAGGAGATCCATTAACATGTCAAATAGTTCCTGGAAGAGATATCACCATCGAAATTGTAACTGAGAATAAAGGATTGGGATTATTTTTTGTAGGAGGAAAAGATACTTTAATTCCTGTGAGTGATTTTTCCCACTAAGTTTAATAAATATAAGTAACTTTTTGTAAATATGAGTGAAAGTTGTATATGCTTGTTTATGGCTTTGTTTTTATATTGATACTTTTTGTTTCAGAAAGGGATAGTCATAGTTGAAGTATATTCAGGTGGAATGGCTGACAAAGATAAAAGATTACAACCTGGTGATCAGATTTTAGAAGTCAATGGAACAACATTGAAAGATGTTTCATATACAACAGCTTTACAATCGCTGAGACAAACACTGCCAAAGGTAATTGATCTTAATGACAATATTTTTTTTGACAATAAAATTGAAAAAAAAACATATTTTATTGTCAAAAAACTATTCTGTTAGCTAAAAATATTGAAATGCAAAAGATATCAGTTTCCAATGCTTTGCAGTATATTTACCACTGCACTCTTTCTTCAATGAGCTTAGATTTGTATACTCTATTCTCTGTTAGATCCAACATTCTATAAACAATAAAAAAATTCGAAGTTTTTCTCTCAATCATTATTTTGTCATGATAACGAAATGATAATGATAATAATGAATAGCCTTTATTTTACTTGGCGGAGTTTAGCATTTTTCCACATAGTTAGATTAATACAAAAAAATTAATTCTAAAAGATTGAACACATTTTTCTTATACTAAACTTGCCTGTTTATAAATGATTAATAAATAACGAAAAAAAATGTACCTGAAATCAATGACTGGCGTTGTTAGCTGTGAAAATGGACATAATATAACATTTGTGAAAAAAGTTTTCAACATCATTTTTTTGATACGTAAATAATTAACTTTCCAGATTTTCAACTGTCTGTGTTCAATAACTTCTTTTCAGTTTTTATGACATAAAAAGTTTGTTATTCAACAGCCTGTATCAATTTATCATAAATTTTGTGTTTATGAAAGTGAGAAATTGTATTCCATATTCCATAACAAATGTTTGGTGAACAAACCGAATAAGAAAAAGTTATTTTCATATAATTCAATGTTCAATTGAAAGTAGTTGTTTCGAAAATAGTTTTTTGTTCTTGTAATTCAATGTTCTGAGAGGGAACTTTTTTTTCAGCTTGAATTTGAAAGTAACTCATCTTTGTAAAAAATATTTTATTTTGAATTCAATTGATGTTTTCCTTCTTTGAAAGTTTTCCACAATTTTTTGTATAAAGATGGAGACGTGAAAGCCAAAAAGCTTTTTTCCCAATAAATCAGTATCTAAGCAACTTCAGCGCGACTAAAAAAAAAGTGTCTACAAATCAATGGTTCAATATCGAAGGTAATTTCATTCGGTAAGAAAAAATTAAGGAATGGACATTTTCATTACATTTTGATAAAAATTGGTAACAAACCACTGAAATTATTTCGCTGTGAAACAAATCAAAAATGACTTGCTTTGCTATTCGGACCACTATTGGTAAAATGAGTTTATTTTAATCTCAAACAGAGATTGAGAAATGCTGACAAAAAAACAAAAATAATTCTTTACGAATCGCCAGTTATGTCCTAGCTCAAATACTTTAAATGTGCTAGATTGGAGTTCAGGTTAGTAGTATGCTAGAAGAAGAAGAATCATGTCAATAGTGTCAAATTAAGGCAAAATATAAATTATAGTTCAATACCACCTCCACAAGCCACACAACAGTTGTTTTGTTATTTATTTATATAGACAAAATGTCATATGTCACAGAATGTCTCGGAACTCGGAACATAAGTAAACAGAACAGCACGCCTCTGAAATATGTCACCTTTGTTTGTCTCATACAGGTAACAGATTCATTGTCCTTTATTAGCTATAACCGATGTTGCCAAATGGTGAAATAGAAACGAATCCCTTTAAATGTTGAATGCATTATTTCATCCCTCTTTTTGAAGTATTTGAATTTTTTTTACGAAAAAGGTAATGATAAGTTTAAAATGCGTTGTTTTAGAGCTCTTTTATGAAAACTACTTGATTTTCGTCAGAAGGAACATTCCCCATTCCTGCTTTTTGAATCAGTTTTTCTGTTGTATGAATGTTTTCTCTCTAGGTTCCATGTTATAATTTTCCAAAGTTTCAATTCGTTTTACACACTTAACAACTCATTCAGGACTACCATAGTTCTAGAGCTAACGACCTTTCCATCATGTTCAATAGTTGAGAAAATTGGCTCCCCGTGCTAAGATTCGCACATTGAAAGTTAAGATCTTGTTCATCTTCAGCTCTCAATCACAAGTTAAAACATCTGACGGTTGCCATTTGTGTGGCAGCAACAGCTATATTTCGATTTTTATTGCTGCCTTGTCCATAGACACTCGGTAAAATGTTGAAATAACCAGAGCAAAGTTCCTAGAGCATTCCCCTGCATATAACAATAATGATAAATGGTCTTTATTTTCATCTTGACAAAGTTTAGTTTACAGTAGTCTCACTCAACCAAGATTATTTCTTTATACATTGGTGTTGAATTTGTTTCTGTTAAAATCTATTTTTTTGTTAACCTATGAATCGGAAGTTGAAACGTGTGCGAGCTAAGGATTAACTCGGTCTTACGTTTCAACATGTGATTCCAAGCAAGGTTTGGACGATACGCTGTGATATCAATGATCTGTCCATAGGGATCGAACCAGTCACGCTAACCTAACCGACTTCTGTCACATGTGAAGAAAGTGATGAAGATTATTAGTTGAAACCAAGACCTAATCTAGGTTTTACATTAATTTACATGCTTGAGCGAAAGTCAAATTTCTCGTTGATAATTTTGGAGTAGAGGTAATCTGGACATGACTCCTTTGATTTAATAATTTCAGCCAACGATTGTTTACACATTTAGTTTGAACAACAAGATTAATCGTATACGGGTATTCTGAACTGTTTTAAGTTAATGTATCAAGATAATGTCTGTTTTGGGAATCGGTGAATTAATATGGCTAATGAATCTGAAATCGCAACCTAAAGATTAACTCTAAGCATTTTATTTTTTTACTGTATTTCAATCAGTGATTATTCACATATTGTCCATGGTTCTATTCCGGTCTCTCTCATCACCAAAAATTATAGCTGATGATTTATTTGGGTTGATGTTAAAACAGTGATTTCTTGATATTTTCAATAGTTCATCCACACCATTATTCAAAGGATGTTCAGCAGATAAAAATTCATCAATTCTTGCGGAAAAGTATAGATTGATGTCATCAGCATAGGTACGCATTTGAAAGTTTTTCAGTGCATCAGAAAAATCAGAGGTGTAGATGGTAAATAAGAGGTGCAAGTATGTGAACGTTTAGTTCTGATGAAATATAAAATTGATAACAGGATGTGCTCGATTACTGAGAAAATATTTCAAAAATCATTGACTTTTATCTGTAGTAACAAAGTTTTGCAATTAGTAAAATATGGTTCATAGTATAAAATGTTTTACTATAATAAAGTGACACTGATTAATCATGTCGAGTTCGTTCATCCCCTCCATGATTATTGATTACTGATCAATGCGTTTTTGATTGATGTTATTCAGTTACTTCATGGATCGATCTTGTACTCATATTCACTATGTAATTTTTGTCTTCTGAGTATTTTTTTGTGGTCCTTTTAGGAATTAATTTGTTTGAAGTAATATTCTGTATGATAATGATTAATCCCGAAAATCATAACACGTTTATGTTATGATTTACATTATATACTTTACGTCTCTCTTATTCCATTTACAAATTTCAGGTTCTTCTATTGAGTTTTTTTTTATTTCAAGATTCCTATCAACAGAAATTAAACAATTCGTTTTAATTTTGTTTCATTATTTTTCAGATGAAAATGATCGTGTACCGACCTAACACAATAGAATATACACCTGTAGAGGTTGACCTCATTAAGAAACCTGGGAAAGGATTAGGCCTAAGTGTACTAGCTAGGAAGTCTGGTAAAGGAGTATATATAGCTGACATTGTGAGTATTGTCATAAACTATTCTTTACAAAAAAAATTCATGAAAACATACTTTAATTTCTAATTTCCTCCATCTAAAATATTATATTCAACTGAAGCTTTGCTACAAGTGAATTACCTTAATTATAGATATCCATAACATCCAAAACTGCGAATTTGCAATTATAAATGTCCCAAAAAAAAATATTGAGATTCGCAAATATAAAAAATTTCAAATTATAATTTGGATAATCAGAATTGGAATATGCTTTATTGTCGAAAGATTACAGTTCTTATTGAATAAAATGAATGGAAATCAATCATTTACGATCATAACTGACCTGTAAAGATCAATAATATGAGGAAATATATTACTAAAAGGTAAAACTGGAATCTCTGGCTTAGAATAAATCCAAAACAAGCTCTTTTCCCAGTTACCAGAAATGTGATACTCTTACATATATCACTTTGTATAGTATTCAAATGACAAAATCTGTTTCAATACCTGAAAGAATATTTTGAGTACAAACTGGATGGAAAATAGTGATTTTTATATAATTCAATGTTCTGAAGTAACTCTTTTGGAAGAACTCTTTCCTTTTGTTCATTTAAGAGTAGTTGTTTCAAAAGGGTTTTCTATTCCATTCATATCTTTATAGAGTTTTTTTGTTGTAGTTATTTTATTCCTTTCTTTGGAAGTATTCCACATTTTTTGTAACTTTTGATAACTTCATTTCATTTTAAACTTTCTCAAGAAATATTTTAGCTGTTTATAATAGGGAAATTCAAATTTAGAATGTTTTTTGAAATATATAAGCAAGTGCAAAGATAAGTTGTCAAACGTGAAAATACTATTCTTCTGATACATATTTTATTAAATGTACTTTAAATTTTTTAACATATATCATGTTTGTCACCTTGGCTGGCAGCTCAAAATGACTATTATGCAAGATGTGACATTTCCAACTTCAGTTTTTGTTCTGCTTGGATATAATTCTTGAAATATTCTCGTGAGATAGTCATGAATGAAATGATTTTCATTTATTTTTCGTTCATACGGTGAAGTGAATGAAAAAACAAATTGCTGCAGGTTTTCCCGGGTTTTCCTGCAGCTGAAAAAGCAAATGTGCCACTGGAATCAATGAAGTCGCCCCGGAGCGCCAATTAATTTTTGTTTTATTATAAAGTGAATCAAAATTCAATAAATTTTTAGTTGATTTTAAGTGTAGAAGTTAATAAATACATTTGATAGATTTATTCAGAAAATTTTTCAATGGTTTAAGAATTGCTGTATTTTGCAAATCCCGATATGGAAATTAAATATTTTAATCAAAAATAAATCAAACTATATGTTCATCAAATCAAGGTGCCAGAAAGCTTTTTTCACAAATTTTGATAAAAACAATGTTCAGTTTTGTTCATTTATCAAATATGTAAAATGAAATGCATTTTACTTCTGGATTATTTTAGTGCAACCACAAAAAATTTGGACTTTTCTAAAAAAAATCAATTATCTTTCAGGTTAACGGTGGAACTGCAGATCTTGACGGTAGGATAGTTAAAGGTGACTTGATAATTTCTGTCAATGGACAGAATATTGAAGAAGTATCTGGTGAAGAAGCGGGGGCCATATTAAAGACTGTTGTGGGTAGGGTGTCTTTGAAATTACACAGATACAAACCTGTTGTGAGATAATTAAGTCATTCTTTTTTCAATTTTATTTGTTGCTCCCTAATTGACTCAAGTAATATGAAAAACTTATCATTTAAGATTGTAATGGTTTTACAAATTAACGTGTATGTTGTATTCACTAGACCAATCACAATATGAATTGATTGATGTTGTTGATTAATTTTCTAAAATCGTAAAGATTTGGAGATACTTCAATAGAATCTTAGATCTTAACTAAATCATGAACTAGTTGTATTTTTCTCCATTCTTTTTCTTATGAATTGTTGAAAGAATGAAATCATGTTTTTATTTGCGGGTAATTATCTAATTTATTGACACAATTTATTTGTGCAATGGTTTCTAGTATAATGAAGTGTCATTATTTTATTAATGTTGAAAGTTTTGGGATCCTTATTTTACAGTCCTGTAGTTCTAATGTATCCAAAGGTTTTGAATGTCACGATGTCTCTGGGCATCGCATAAATTCCATCTTCTTTTGAATCTCTTTAACATTTCAAACCTGTATTGGATTAAGGGTGTATATCTCATTTTACTGTTAAGCAACATCTGTTGATAATTGAGCCATTGTTATTAAAATGTAATCCATTCAGATTGTTTTCACATAAAAACTGTACTCGATAATATGTATAACAAATGTTCAATATTCACAAGATCATCTTCACATTCATTTGTTTTTGCCAGACCACCAGTCATTTTTACATTTTGAATTGATATGAAATTTTTCTAAACTTTAACTTCCTACTTTGAAAATGGTGAATTTATTAAATTTTTAACAAATGTCACTTATGGAATCTTCTATATTTTTTAAATTTACTTGTGATTATTGATGAGAAATCATTGATACATTCATTCTGAGCCGCATTTTGGGAAACATATTAAAATTAACGGCAGATTTTTTTAACTTTTAATCCAATTCTGCACTGGTTTTATTTCCAAGAAGTATCAGTTATAGCTGCTCAGTTATTTTCTAGAAAATGACAGATGTGCAATGGACATTACCATTATTTTTGTTGCTAAAGGTTAACGCAACTAACGACATACTAAGGTACGACACATATATAATGTTTATCTAGTCAATTAAGTTATTGTTGTTACTTAATTTATTATCTGTATGTATCTAGTTAAATAGTATACCTGCTTAAATTGTGATAAATTCTATAAAAATTAGCTGAGTAAATTATATATATATACATATAAATGAAATTATAATTTAGGCATATTACTAGCTATAAAGGTTGAATGTCATTTTGAATGTTCCATTTTGTTTCAATTATATGAAAAAGTTATTAGTTGAGTAACTTTTAAATAGTAGAATAACACGTTTATATATTATAGCAAATATTGTAAGAGGATGCATGTAATATTTTAAAATACCTAGGGATTCTTTAGGAATTAGTTTTTAATAATCTATTGAACAGACTGTAATAATTTGTATATACTGTACTCTTGCAAAGTTCACTGTACTAAATCTAGAACTATTTTGTAAATAGCGTTATGCAATGTTGCATGCTAGAATTTTAATAAAATTCACTTTATCTCTTGCTATTTTATTGTTTTAGTTTCGATGTTATGAATCACACGTTAAAAGGTAAGACCTCGTTAATCCTTAGCTCGCACAAGTTTCGACTTCTGGGGGTTGTCGTTCGTAGGGGTGCGACAGCTGGTTAACGGAAAAACAGATGTTATCTGGTTCTGATTATTCTGAAACTTCTGTCACAAAATTAATTGGAAATTTAACTAATAATTGCCATAAACAAAAAAAAAGGGAATTAAAATAATATCTCTATCCATGATAACAATTATAGAATTTTCACAATGTTAATTAAAACGTATTTTGCTACACGGTAGCTTTCTCAGTTTCTGGTACTTCAAACTATTCTACAATGCCTTTTATATAATAGTAGTTTTTTTTTAATACCAATATGGGGGACAATGATGTTAATAAACTGCTCTGCAGTTATTGTAACAAAAGTGCAGTGAAAAAAAAGTTGTGAAATGTAAAAAGTGTGACAAAGTGTGGCATGTGCTAAATGTAAAGATTGATGTAGAACCAACCTAGCTGATGAAATAAAAAATAGAGATCGGAATGATAACACATTAATGATGAAGTTATATTCTGAAATCTATGGCTTAAGAAAAAGGCCTAAAGGATGAATTGTCTAAATTAAACACTGAATTGAAAAAGAAAAATGGTATAATTAAGGAGATGAAGAACAAAATGTCAAGTAAATTTGATCAAGAAATGATGCAAAAACTAATTAGTGAAATGGAGGACAAATGCTAAAAGAAAACAACTATCTGTTGAAACAAAAAATCGCATCTATCCAGAATGAGAAATTGGATTCAAAGAAAAAATCTGTAATAGAATCAATACGTAACAGCCCAAATACCACTATTTCAAAACAGGCGGCTCCTTCCTTAAATAAAAAATCTTATCCGAACCTCGCTCCGATCATCAAAAGCACAAATAGAACCAAAACATAAAGAAACTAATGTCGAAGATTGGAAGAAAAAGAGAGGGGAAGAAACTGAATTAATCAATGCACAAAAACACATTATGGAAGAACTTATCCATATCCAGAGCGACATCCAAGATGAAGATGGATTCAAAGAAATAACTTATAAAAAGAAACGTCAAACTTCAAATCTCTATGGACAAAATGAAAAGGAAAATTACATTGGTGTACCAAGGAAGGCTTGGCTTTATTTTTATGGAGTCAGATGTCACATTACTTGTGAAAAAATTTACAAATTTATAAAGGAACAAGAGGTCTTCAAAGAAATGTAGTTGAAGAACTACAAACTAATGAGAGTCAGAACAAATGTTTTATGTTTGGCATAAAGTTTCACTTAAAAAATGAAATTTACAAACTAACGACCTGGCCTAGATCGGTAGCATATTGTAGGTTTGATTTTAAGAGATACGTCAGATACCAGCAACCAAAGGATTTTTAATAAAAACATCATCTATTGGGAGTGCACCTGCAAATGTAAATCCACAGAGTCCAAACCCAAATCTACACAGTTGTCCTCCAGAGAAACGACTTGAAGACATTGAAAATAATACCCAATCAGTACAAAATTTAAAAAATCAGGAACAACTGGCTATCATGCGTCTAAATATTCAAGGTATGGCGGCACGCAAAATACAACAAATAGAAGTCTTATTACATAAACAAGACTCAGACATTCTATGTTTCTCAGAACACTGACTAACATCGGATGAAATAAGAAAGTTCACATTATCCAAATATAAACTAATAGTTACAGTAGGAAATTATATAAGCATGGTGGTGTTTGTATACAGTGCATTTCGTTTATGTCCTCCCCTTTTATTTTTTGATCGGGTCAAATCAAAAAATTGAAATTTGGGATGATGAAATTAATGCATAGATACTTTAAAGACAATTATAATGTTCCTGATGAATTATATACAAGACACATAATTGAGGATGTTTGTTATGCTAAAAACTTGACAGAAAACAGAAATGCACAACTCATCTCAATATATAATGTTATGAATGCTGCATAAGTTTTTTTTTTATTTGAAGTTTCAAATTGTTACACACTTTCAGGTATCATTCAGAATGTTTACTTGTTATTTTGAAAAGTCATTTTTAACGTTATAGGATATTATAGAAGATTTTGTGATAAGTTACTTATAGTCAACAAAAACTAAAAACAATAATAACAACAGCGAATAAACTAAACACAATATCAATTTCCGACCGTTTATTATAACGATGCCCGTGGCACCGTCGAATCCTTCGATACTACAGCACTGAACGCGTTAGATGAGAATCTCATTCTAAGAGCGTTTGAAAGTCCCCGGCAACTCGGGCGGATCACGTGGTACCACCTTCATATTTTCCTGAACTTATTAGTTTACATTAAGAAGAGCACAAATATGCCACAAGAAATCATACTAATTTTCATGTATACAGAACAAGCAGAAGAAGTGCCACCAATTCTTCATTTTTCAAAGAATGCACACAATAAATAAAAGATATTGAAATCCATTTAAAATGCTAGATAGAATAATACTTGATTAAATAATATCAATAATAAGAGTATTTGTATGTTGTTTTCTTCTATTTACCATTGTGTTGGAGCTGCACTTATATTGCAGTGTATTTTTCAATATCACGATTTTTCAAACTAGAAATTACTATTATTGAACTATATCTACATTTTTATTTTATATAATTATGGACAATTTCATAATTGTGATACTGCGTTTACTGGAGTCAACTTATTTTATTCACAAAGATAACACTAATACAGTGCAACTCAAAAAATTGAAATTTGGAATAATGAAATTAATGCATGAATACTTTATTTTGAAGTGAAATTGACAGATGAAACTGTCAAGATGACGACTAGGCGCCATCTGGGAAAAAAATTAAAAGGAAAAGGGGGGTCTTGTGACACATCATTTTGAAGCTCCTGATGAATACTTCACAACTTTATAATATGAAGTCAATATCTTCACCAATACAGAATGGCGGAACATTTAATAATTTCCTGAAGACAAATACATTAATATCGATATTTCTAGAAATATTCCTTTTTATCTGCCATATGGTATATTTTTTGTTTATAAAAACGTCAAAAAATGTCAGTACCACAATGAAGATCATTGTCAATATCCAGAAAAAAATTAACGTTTGGGCAGGAATATTGGGAAACCATATTGTAGGGCCTCTATTTATTGATCAAAATTCAACAGGGGAAATGTATTTGAAAATGCTGGAAACATAATAAATTCGATATTGTATTCCAACAAGATGGATCACCACTACATTACTCCAGACAAGTAAGAAACTCTTTGGATACTACTTTTCACGGTCATTGGATTGGCCGTCGAGGTCCTACAGAATAGCCAGCCCGCTTGCCAGATTTGACACCTTTGGTCTTTTTTTATGGGGTTATTTGAAGCAGAAGGTGTACGAAACTGAACCTGCTTCAATATTGAATATACGGCAGAGAATAATAGATATTTGTAGAGATATTGACGTTACTATGTTCGGCGTGAAATATCGGATAGGCTGTTCAATGTCAAGAAGTTCAAGACAGCCATTTCGAGCATCTTCTGAACTGACCTCAAGCTTATTACCTCATATTATGTAGTTAAATGTCAGTGTATTCAGGCAATTATTAAACGTTCCGCCATTTTGTAGTAGTTGAAGATATTGACATTATATTCTAGGGTTGTGAAGCATTTGTCAGGAGCTTCAAAAATATGTATTGAAAGACCCCCCTTCCATTTAATTTTTTCCCCAAATGGCGCCCAGTCGCCATCTTGAAAGTTTCATCTGTCAATTTCGCTTCAAAATAAAGAATTCATGCATTTCATTATACCAAATTTCAATTTTTTGAGTTGACCCATTCAAAAAATAAAAGGGGGGTACATTAAAGAAATGCACTATATTATCTCAAGAAAATCATGTATTTTAACCCTTCACCTTTTCTAAATGTATAGAGAAAAACTTTGAGGTACAAAAGCTGTATTAGAAAACCCATAAAACCCATATAGCTACCTACGTGACTTCCGGGTCCAAGATATAAATACAGAGATATAAATATTAACGAGTGTGTATGATATAAATCAAAAGGGGGAAATTCGTGGACAGAACACTCAAAAAATAGGGGCAAACCGCGGACACGTGTTTCTGGCTATTGGCCTCATCAGCGCGGTGCAGCCAATTGCAAAGATGGACAACAACTGGTTAGACGGACATAGAACATCACTCATAACAAAAACAATAACTGGAAGGATTTAAAATTTTGCCAATTCATTTTTCCATCTGAAATTCAAACAAAACACTTTCATTTTATAATTATGAAACGAACACAGAATCTGTGATATGTAGGCATTATTAAACATGAATATTGACTCTATCCCTACAAATTTCCCCACATAACTAGTAAATTAGAAGGGGCTTTGACAGTGGGAGGCTGCTCTGCTGGTGTTGGCGGGTAGCTCTCAACTCAACAGTGCTTCATTTCAGCCTCAGTCTAGGACTTCTAGCTTCCTGACGGAGCTTATGAGAGAGTAATCAGTAAATTGCAGTTCGATACATGGTGTTAAATGTGTCTACTAGAAACTTATAATAACTAACTTGAAGGGGGAAATATTCAAAACCAGTGGAAAGGACAAACAATAGTAACATTACTAAAATTATTCAGAACTCCTTTCTCAACAATCAGCTACCGAGCCATCATTTCATCTTCATGTATTTTCGTTTTTAGAATCAATTATTGAAAATAGAGTAGAGTAGTATTTCGAAAATAAGCAAGTACTGAAGCCCTATCAAGCCGGTTTTCGAAAGAGAATGGATACATCAATAATATAAATCAAATTTTACGGCGGTATTTTTTGACTTGAAGGCTGACTAGTATGATGTCAATATATTTTGCATTTCAAAACTTCTTATAGACTTTGTTTTTTTTTTTCAATTCTGAAGACGGAGGCCGTTTGTAGCCTCCAAAACTCCAAATAGCTGCAAAATTTTTCATCTTTTTTGATAGGCAAAATTATTAAATACGACACGTTACTGATAGATAGAACATTTTTCTTGGAGAAAAATATTTTGAATTTAGGCAGTAACTTATCAGGGTGAAGTAATGTTTGCCCTTTCTACCCTTGCCCTTACAATTTTCATATTTTTCAGATTATGGAAGGTGAAAATATCTAAATAAGGTCGATAAAAATGATAATCTTATAATTGAAGAGACTAGAAAAAATATTTCAGGCTCTCATGTTTTTGTATTCACTGCTGCATTAATAAAAAGTGAGGTGGGAACACATAGTAAAAAAACAGGAATTGGAGTGCATATTCTGGAAATTAATTGTTCATCCTCATCTCCAATACCAATTCAATAAATACCTGCACTGTAGAAACCTCTGCAGTCAACTTAGGTATAAGCACCTGTTGTGTATGAGAATAAATAATAATTGAGTAGTAGGCAGTATCAGAAATACGGTTCAGATCATTATAAAAAGCCGAGGATTTTTTAGAGTATGCATTCATTGTACATGATTGAGGCAATTAACTAAATATAGTCGTAACTAGAAGTGATGTGTTGAATTTTATTCAACTTTGATATCTAGTCTGTTCAATAGTTACAAAGGGGTGACTTTTTACGTCTTGAGGGCACAATTTTCAATAAAAATAGTACACATCTTTTCATAATTGGACTGATTTCAGCAAGGAAGAAGATTTAACTCCAAACATTCAAAACTTTTATAAAATTTTATTTCCCTGAACATTATTTTTATTGTTCATAGATATTTTAACCTGCCGTTTTGCCTCTTCTTTGAAAGCAGCAGTATTCATCTTTTTCTCCAACCTTCTCTCTTTCCTATACTCCTTAAGCTGTTTTTTTCTTTCCCTGCGCTCTTCTGGTAACTCATTTTTGGGTCTAATGGACAAATTCGATAGTTGTGAAATAACTGATTGACCAACAGAAAATGCACCTTTACTTTCAAAATCTCCATTCTCTTCATTCAATTTATTCAATGCGTTTTGTGTTAATCTGTTGGAACCCAGAACATTTTCTGGAATGCCAGTTTTTTTGTGGATGCGAATTTTACTTGCCTGGAAAATAGTTTGTTAAAAAATGACTTGAGAGGGAATAACTAGTTGGTGAGAGTCAATGGACAACATGTTAAAGTGTAATGTAAAAAACAGATTGAGGTAAGATGAACACTTAGCATTGGTGTTCGATATAACATTAGTGGATGTCGTGAGAAATTAACAAATATACCTCAACAGACACCAAATCATAGTATTTCCTAATGACAATTTAATAAATATACATTTCCAAAATAATCGAAAAATAAATTTGTAGGAGCACAATAAGTATGCTTCGAAATAACCATAGAATAGAACAGAACAAAATAGAAATATATTCATTTAGAAATAATGCAATAAAAACATAACATCACACAAATTCATCACCATAGTTAGAAGCATTAGTAGCTAAAATAGGACTTAACTATATGACACAATATGCATTGAGAAAAAACCGTTAGAGCATTTAAAAACTTATCTATAGCATGAAAAGTTTGATAGATGAACGAAAAACATAAAATGTGAGGTCAGTGATTTTCAAAGATGTATTACAAATACAAAGACAGCTAGGGGAAAATCTAACAAAACAGTTCTCCCGCACCACCAATTTTGTCAAACATTGAATTGACGATCTTGAAATATTTGTGATCCTTCATAAAAAAGATAGGGGTTTTAGGACGAATCAAGACGAATAGTAGACGGTGAAAGTTACCAACCTCTTCTTTCCAAAATGTCACTAGTATATAACCCTAAAATGGATTGATTTCTCCAGGAAACGAATCTGTCGCTGAATCAAGTTTTTTATACGAAAATGTTGATTATCAAACTGAAAATTGTCAAAGGTTAAATGAGATGTGAATGGGATTTGATGAAGGAATACTTCTATTTTTCTATATTTTCTATTGTGTTCTCTGGAGACCTGTAACTGTGGAAATATAGAAGAGCTCCAATTTTCAGATTTGTAATATACATATCAAAATATGTTAGTACACCCACCCAATTTTTTTTTCAAAATCGCAGGGTGCATCCTATCCAAAATTTTACCATAAAATTAACTATCAAGTATTCATTTCTAAATTTGAGAAAGTATCAATACATTTGAAGGGTGTATTTTGAAACATTCAATAGAGAAACACAAACTTTGTTCAAATTTTATGATGAAAAAATTTAAATGCTCATGTTAGAACAATAGAGCAAAAAAGTTATTTTCTATAATACCACAACAAAGGAGGTGAAGGTGTACATTCTAGAAGAATTTTATCAAAATAACCCTACTAGTCCAACAGTAAAATATTGGTTTACTTTTGCCTTTATTTTTTATTTTACCTTGATGAGAAAAAAATACTATGAAATACCCCTTTTATTTTGAGCAATAATAATTCAATCAAAATTTTTATTTGGAAGATTTAGAACTAGATATGATACATACTTTAGGTTCCTCGATCAACTTGGGATGGTTATAAATGTTCGAATATGTACTCAAGATGCTCTCACAATCCCATTTTTCTTTTTCAGGCACTGGAAGTGCCACCAATTCTTCGTCTTCATCTGAACCGATTTCTAACTGTTCCTTTATTTTGTCTGCTAGTATAACGTCATCCATTTTTTCTGTTTTCTGAGATTTCTCAAACTCATCTGCATACTGTAATAATATATCTGAGGATAACGGAACATGGCCTTCAATTTCCTCACAATCTAGAGCTCCTATTTCAATGTCCTCATAACCAGCAAACATCTAAAATAAACAGTAATGCTAGCAGTTTATTCAACAGGAAATATCAAATAACATGTACAAAAGATTCATATCCAGAATTTCGAATATATACCCAGAACTAAACTATCAATACTAGTTACTAGCTGTTTCATGCAATTTCATTAAGATGGACTTCAGACTGAAATTTACTTTCCAGAAAACTACTTTTGACAACCTGGTATTTCGCTCATTGAAAGACTTCATTCATTAAATACTCTCCTGAAAATATCATCTTCCCAAACTGATGAAAATATTTCCAAAATTAATTAAAATAATCGATGAAGACTGAATTGAATTTTTCAGAAAACTACTTTTTTTCTCAACCTGGTATTTCCCTCATGGGAAGAATTCATTCATCAGATTCTCCTCTGTACTCGAACTAATGGAAATATTTTCAAAAAATCAAAGACTGAAACCTGGTATTTTGCTCATTGAAGACATTATTCATCATATACTTTCCTGAAAATACCATCCTCCCAAACTGATGACATTTAAAAGTAAGTTTGTGGCGACTGATGTTAAAATTTACAGAAGTCTTCAACAGGATAGTTTCAAGGTTCCTAAGAAGTATATCCAAATTATAATATAGTGCTCTGTATTTGCATAAAATGTAAAATTTGTATTTTTTTTCTATAGACCAAGAAAAATTTTGAATCCTGTCACATGAGAAATTTATCAAATTTGAATTGCTTTTTCTATTATAAATCTATTTGAAAATTCATTACTGATTAGGATCACATTATTTTCATGGTTATATTTAGTTTTGCAAAACTTAGAAGCTACTATTATTCAGATACATTTTTTTATGTTGATTGAGCCAGTGTTGGTAATAAGATAAAATGGTAGAATTTTACTATTTGTAGAAACAACAATTCATCTAACTTATTTCTGCAGACTGAATATTGAATAACATCATGAGTAATTTTTCGAGTGTTATGTTAAGAAGTTCTAATGAAGGAATGTAGGCTTTCACAGCTGGCTTAAAGGTTTTGGTTGGTTCCGGGTTTTGCCGTGGTCTTCTTCAGTTATAATCTCCAAACGTTTCAACTGCAACTGTCATCTTCAGTGGCTTGCTCAAAATACTCTTCTTGACGTATCAACTGAAACTAAAGCCCTCAATTCCGCAGCGTCATTTATAGTGCTGATTTTTCAGTCACTTTCTGTAATGGCGGGTACACGCGTATTTCCCGCATGATTTGGGTGACCTGACTTTGATTTGGCACTTTTCAATGCTGTGTGCCAGACATTCCTTTCTGTTGAACAATCTTGGTGTTTGTGTATTTCTATGGCTTCCAAATACATTCTCGTTGAATAATGAATCGACGTTGCTAGCCACTCAGTATTTTCGAACAGGATCTTGTGTTCCCCCTCTTCTGTCCCAGACTTCTCAGTCTGCAGTTGCTGAACATGCACTATTCAGAATATTTTATTTTTTTAGAGTAGTAGTTTTTTCAGTTGATATCAGAAGGTTTGTAAATTAACTTACTGATAAGATTTATTTATACATTCAAATTTTTGTTGTTGCTAATATTTTTAGTGTTGAACATAACGATTACATAATCTTGCATTCTGCACCGAATGATGTCAGAAAAAATATTTTCTGTCGCTTCTGAGAGTTCTATATTATGTTTCACCATTTAATATATTTCATATTAAATAACACGAATACATTTTTTGGTGCTCATAGAAACCCCTTCGATTATTCATCACCAATGATGAGAACTTTTTTCAATTCAATAATTGGGTATTCAGATGCATTTAATTTTCCTTTTCTGGATCACAATCCTTAAAATTTACAGCAAAACATTTAACATGTTGCTTCTCAGAATAGAGATAAAGTGGAGAAAGATTGTTCATGGCTTAACAAGTGAGCTCAAAACCGCTATCTCCACTATTGCGCTCCGCCCCGCTTCGTAGTGCTTCAACAAGTTTAATGTTCATATTCACCGTTTAACATTACGTTTTTTGCAAAAATATTTGTGACATCATGAAGTTTAAGTATTCTGCTAGTTTTCGCGAAATTTCAACTTTTATTATACTATTTTACAATTATACTTTTATCACTCACTCACGGGCACAGAATGTATTCAAATATTTCAAAATTAATTTCAATTGAATTTTTTTTAAATTTCTCTTGAATACAGTTGGTTATGTTCTTCCTCAAATGATCTGGAAATTTATTGAACATTTTTTTCCAGTATTCAAATTACCTTAAATAAAATTAGATAATTAACAAATACTTCTTACCTATATTTTCAGATTTTAAATTAATGTACTTTTCGAAATATGTCTAACCAACTAAATTCTTAATATTTTTATAATTTCTGTCTTAACTGTTCTCTAATGTTGTGCATTATTAATTATGTAATATATAAATGAAAATCATACTTTTTCAAACTTCGCATCTAACAAACTGAGCTGTTCATTTCTTCTTATCACTGAACTTGTCATTGAATAATTTGTGAATCTAGATTTCGTTTCTTCTTGTTCAAAAGAGAAATCAGATCCAGGTAATGAACAAACTTCATCCAGCTCCTCATCTCCGCTGAATTCTTGATCAGAAGCCACTCCACCACCAAGTTCCATAATATTATCCTCAATCTGATTTTCAGGATCAGAGTAGTCAAAATCATCATCCATGGCAGCCACAAGATCTGGATCAAGATGTAGTTGTGGACCTGAAGCCAAGAAAATAATTTCAGTTGAATTTCCTTCAATAATTTTCAGTTATACGGATTAGCAAGAAATTTAAAAAGTTTTTTTGATTACGGATATACTTTCAGAAGTGCGAGGTATACTCATATTCAGAAAATAAGGGTAAATTTTTAACTTCATGGGTTTGGAGAGTCCAATCTGATCATACAGTTAATAAAGATGCAATTTTGGGCGAAAAGTGGATATGGTAAATTGAATAATGTCATGTAAAAGAAGGGTGAAAAAATTTTATTAGAGAGGTGAGCTCTCGAGTTTTTTCAACAATTTCCCCTTTTGAAGGCCATATTTCCTGATGTAGAACTGACTAACATACAGTATATTCGTCAAGGATACATCTATAAGTCTTAAAACGTCAGGACCTTGATTCACAGTAAAACATACCTATTTTTCTTCTTTGTCTTATTCATGGAAAGTGGAGGATAAATGGCAAATCATATGTTCTTGTAAGATAGCTCTCTCTTTTCTGCTTCTTGTTAGATTACCGATTATATATTACCACCTTGTCAAAATCATTTTAGGCATTCTTTTGAAAATATGAAGGTTTCTCATCCATGCAAACATAAAACTGCTGTTTGATTTAGATTCACTTTTTACCATAGCTTCTCATATCAGCTTGTGAATTTGCAGTAATGACCTAAGAGGTCCACCATTGTTCTTTTTTTAGTAAAATAATTAAAATAATTCAAACTTTGTTGACATTATAGCATATTGGATGAATACACATAATTCATAATTCTATACTAAACACAAAAAACCTATACTTTCAATACAGTTGGCTCGCAATAGTCCGACACTACGGGACGGCGAGGGTGTCGGATTATCAAAAATGTTGGGTTACCAAAGATTGGCTCTATTTAATTGAATTTGCAGTGTATAAGTTTGAAAAAACGATGAATTTTTATGTAATATTTGACTAGAAAAGATTCAAAATATGTAATGAAGTCAGGCTTTGATTTTTACAAAAAAAGAGAATTTTACTTAATATTAAAATCATAACACATGAATCGATTTTACAGGTTAAGGTAAGACCGACTAGACTATACCAATGACTCATATGACTCAGCGTCAGAATACCGAGCGTGTCGGACTGTAAAGTGTCAGATGCGAGTCAACTGTAGTTACACCAGCTCGCTTTGACAAAATAAGACCAATAACAAAACATATTGAATTTTGGCAGATACCTAGGAAGACAGAGGTCATTATGTAGTAACTTGACATGAGATTTATAACTCAGAGACATATCCTCAGCGAATGTACTGTATTTCAGTTTCATGTCCAGCAAACTAATGCAAAAACTACTGTTGCAGAAATCCAAGTTCACTCCACTCAATAAATTTTGTTTTTAATGATTCCTTGAAAATTATTGTTTTCCAAACTGAATCACTTACCATAAACTGGAGCTGCTTTACCCAACATTCCTACTTCTTCCTCTACTTCTGAAGCAAAAACGGAAGATGGTAGTTGTATCTTTTTCTCATTTTGCTTGCACCTTTCTTCCAATTCACTTTCAACATGATCAGGCCATTCCATTCGGTGGTCTTTAGAATCTTTCAAATATTCCAAATAATTGTATTCTTCATCATGGATTATATCGTATTGATGTTTTTCTTCAATGGGGTTTTCATTATCTTTTTTTGATTCTTTGCCATCAACTGGCAAGAGAACTCTCTGAGGTGCATTCTCATCGGCCACCAGAGGATCCTGTTGACTTCTGTGAACCAGTTGAAAAGTAACAGCTCTCTTTTTGTTGAATTTCTTGTGTTGGGGCTAAAAAAATGTTCCCTTTAGCTTTGAGTTGTCAAGTGATTTTAATTTCTTACCATTTTTGAAGTGAGTAAAAAAATAGACGCTCAGAATATACTTAGTTCGTTAAATATCATGTGTTATTAATAATAACTTGACGATGAGACTGCAAGGCAATACTAATAACACATAACACATGATAAGATCCACATGAAACATGACAGGTTGACAAACAGGAAAACATGACAGATTGACAGACAGGAAACGAGGAAACCGAATAGGTATGTTCGTTTAATACAAATCAGAGCAATCGACTAGCTCGCTTCCCTCGGCAAGCATTAGATAATGCAGATCTGTTGTCTCAGTCACATCTGCTCTGTGTTCGGTATTCACTAGAGTGAGACAAAAATGTGATAGGTTAGCTCTAAGATCACTTTTAGGATCAAACGGATGTTTTTCCTGTCATTAAAAAAAATGATTAAGTTATAGGTATTTTTCGGAATATTTTCTTCTAGTAGTAATGTTTACTCTAACACATACCATCTTCAGGGAAGAGTTCATGACACATTCTTATTGACATAATGATGCCTTCTTCAACATCAGTCATTCTTAAATAGTTGTGAAAAATATTTGCATCAAAAAAATCATAAATAACATTGCTGTTGAAGAAAACTTCACTGGCCATATATTAGAGGTTATGAGATAAAAAAAACATCAAAAATGCCGACTTGTCATTCAGATAGATTCGAACTTTTGTAAAATAAATTTTGCTCGGTCGACCCCTCAGAGTAATAATAAGGCATAGAGTTGCCATGCCTGTGCGGTGCCTATATTAATACATACAATACATGTGTTTTGAAACAGGTATCGTACTATCCTTTTCTGTACAACTTATGTAATGAGAGGTTATGGAGAATTTGAAGTAAGTTGGACCATAAAACAGTGGCGGTTAGTTTTGTTGATAATCGGAGGGATATATATTTATAAAATAAATCATTTCAGGTGAAAACGTATTTTGTTCAAATAGTTCCTACAGAAAATTTGATTTATTATTTATTGATGATTATGGAAATGAAGCCAGTTTTTCTACCAACTACTAAATATTTATTAATGTATGGCTTTATAATAAAGCGCGTGGTTTACTGGTTTAAAATTAAATGATTCCAAATGAAATAATTCATAACAATGATAAATGTTAATTTCAAAAGTGATGAACTTTGCTTCATAAAATCAGATGAAGAAATTTGTGATTTGTTCTCAGATTTGATAAACAACAACGGAAAAGCAAACAACCCACCCAGCTAATGCCGCGCAGAGAGTTGAAGTAAAAACATCAGGCAACTGTGCAACGTCTTCGACTTGGAAGAATCGTCACAAATTATTTCCCACTATGAAAAGCAGAAATTAATTTTGTTTGGTCGATCCAACCAACCGATAGACCGGTTTAGGGGTGATTGTCCCATCATCAGTACCAGGTATGGTCTCCTCAGAACGGTGTGAACCGTCTGAGTACCACGACCAAATTCCTTCGTTATCTTGTTTAAGTCAGATTTATGGGCCTAGGGCCCCTTATCCTTTCGGCTGTTTGAGTTTTTCTTGGGTTCCTGTGGCGGGGCGGCAGGGGATTGCATTGTCCTCTGTCGTCTTCTTTTGGCTATTTGTCCTGTGTGTAGAAGTCGCAGCGTACTTCTTTGGCTTTGCGGCCATTTAGGCACTTGGGTTTGTGGTCTGTCTGTTTTCGTTCGGCCTATCTGAGGCCCTTTTTTTTCAGGGCGTTCTGGGCACCCATGGAAGCTCGCTGGGTGTTCTCCCTTGCAGTTAAAGCATCGCAAGGGCGAGTTTTTAGGTCTTTTGCATTCCTTGGTCACGTGCCGTCCGGTACATCTAACGCAGGTTGGAACTGCTTTACAGTTGCGTTGCGTGTGACCGATTTTTGGCATCTGTAACATTGGCCTGCTCGGTTTCTCGGCTTGTGTTTCGGCGCTTACACGCACGTTTTGAATTTCGGTGATCTAATATATTTTGTTTTGGCTCCTTGAAACTAAAACAAGCACGAACGGTATCGGTACCTTGTTAGCTTTACTCAGACGGGCTACGGAAAGATCTCAAATCTTTTGCCCTGGAGTTCAGTCTTGATGTCGTCATACTCTATGGATTCCAGGACCCCGCGAAAAACTACTCTGAGTGGTTTTTTGCTATTCATTGTATAGGTGTGGTAGGGTATTTTCTCTTGATTGAGGATTCGAGTAATTCTCCTATAATCATCTGTGTTCACCACCCGCAATATGGATATGTTTTGCACAGCAGCAATCGTGTTAAAAGCTTTCCACTTTTCTTTTGCGCGGATGGTTATGGGTGGGGGCTTATCTGCTTTTTTGCGTGTTTCTGCCCGTTCATTTTTCGAGGCGTCTGTTACTAGTTCTGCGTCGCCTACTTCCATTGAGTCAGGTGGCGGGACTTCTGTTTCCTCTATATTTGCCAACTTAGTTTTCTGAGTAGGCTTTTGCCTCATCACAAAAGCCACGCTTTTGTGATGAGGCGGGTGTAGTTTTATTTGATTTTGGCTTATTGGTCCATGGAAAAACTGGATTTTAAATGTTTGATTTGTTGAGCCGTTTCTGGCTCTTTTTTCCTCTTTTTTGGGGCCTTTGCCGCTTGGCTTTCTTCGCCTGACATAATATCGTCGCTGTCCAGATCGCTGATGTCAAAGTCGGAGTCGATAAGACGATGAATTAGAGGTTTTTTGTTTCTCAAATTCAAGTCCATTCTCTTTGCAAAGATGGTATATGCTTCAACTAGTTCGGTACTACTCATTTCATAGAATTCTATAATAGTTAATATTATAGCCAGACCTGCTTCTTTTGGCTTTTTACGAACTTAGTAAAATTGAAAATCGTTTCTATTAATTGTTCCATCTTGAAAGATAGATGCTACAGTTCGAAATTAGCACAACGAAAATTAGTCAACTTGTCAATTTGACAGCTGTCTGACTGTTCACGACGACCAAATCATAGTCATCTTCATTTTCATCAGGTTGGAAATTTTTTCCCTTACCCTTTCAACTGAGATTCGTCAGGATGACGAATGGTTCATAACGTAAGGTGTTTTGGTGGCGACATAAAGATCAATGACCTCTATACCGCTCTGGTCTTGTGTACCCCTTCCTGACTGGGGTATTTGATGAACAAACTGTTCATTTTAACAGACGTCGTGGGGCCTTCACTCAACCGAGCGACAGGGCCTTCTGAGGTTTGACGGGTCGGTTTGTCCCCAAGTACCTGAAGCATACATGATGACAGGCTTGAACATCGTGTTGTATAGTAAAATCTAATTTTTAAGATTGAGTTTTGAATTTCTATTGACTAGAGGATAGAGTTTAGCTATCCTCATCTGCACTTTGCTCTTGATATAATTAATGTGATTTGCCCAGGTGAGTCGGCGGTCTACCCAAAGACCTAGGTACTTGACTCGCGTTTGCCATTCGATCTCCCTGCCTGAAATCGTTACCCTTGTGTCTGGAGAAACTTTACGTCTCCCCAAGTCTATCGCCTGAGTTTTTTCTGGATTCACTCGAGTCTTCCAGTCAAGGTACCAGCGTTCGAGGTCATCCAATGCGTGTTGCACGTAGACGACCGCCAACGCCCGACCCATAGAAGAAGCGAGGAGAGCCGTATCATCGGCGTAAAGGGAAACCTTCACGTGATCGAACCTCGGAAGGTCGCTCACGTAAAGGCTGTACAGTAGAGAAAACAGCACAGCTCCCTGAGGCACTCCAGCTTCGATTTCCCAGACGGGAGACAGGGTTCCTTCAACTCGAACCTGAAATGTTCTGCCTTTCAGAAAGGACCTAATCCACCGGACCAGACCCCGAGGCAGATCGAAATCGAGCATTTTGTGTAGCAGGCCTTCGTGCCAGACTCGGTCGAAGGCTTTCAAAATATCCAGGAGGACGAGATGGACTGTCTTTCTGTTGTTCAGCTCTGAGATGGAATTTTTGACCAGTCTCAGGGCCTGCAGCTCGGTGGAGTGTGTTCTCCTGAAGCCGAATTATTCGTCAGTCTTCAACTTCTTCTGTTAGCCTTTACAGCACAACACGTACAGCCAACTTAGCCGTTGAGCAAAACAGACTAATCGGACGATGATTCTGGGGAAACAGCAGGTTCTGGCCCTGTTTCGGAATCATGACAACTACGGCATACTTTCATCTTCGAGGAAAGTATCTGAGAGTGACTGAGCTGTTGATAATGTCCAGCAGGTATCTGATGAAGTTCTCCGGGAGCTGCTTCAACAACCTGTTGTTGATTGAATCAATTCCCGGAGCCTTCTTGGGTTTTGAGGCCCTAATGTACCCCTTCAGTTCTTCCTCTGAAGCTGGACGGATCACGTCGTCATCATTTTCCCTAAGGATGCGCCGAACCCGGTATTCCAGCCGGATATCACGGTCAATATCAACATCCGGATCAACGTTAAGTCGAAACTGATTCTCCATTGTGTCTGCAAAAGCCAACGCCTTCTCGGCGGGGGAGTAACAGATGCCGCGCTGTCCGTGAAGAAGGGAGGGAGCGGTTTTCCTTTTCTCGAGCCTGCGAATGTCTCGCCAGAGCTCGTCATCCCCAGGTTCGAGCAATTCTAAATAGTCGCTCCACCTCTCGTTTCTATAGTCAGTTATGGCCTGTTTAACCTGGTTGGTCATCCTGCTAGTCGCAGCCTTGTCTCCAGGGTAGAGAGTCCGCTGATAAACTCGTCTGAGTCGATTTCTCTCCCGGATAAGGTTCTTTATCCTGGGAGGAAACTCACTGTAGCTCCGCAGAGGACACTCTGTCCTGGTTGTGGCTGCGCGGAAAGTGTTGTTCACAGACAATTCGAAATCTGCCACTGCCGCGTCGAGGCTGTTGCGAGTTTGAAGCGCCTCACGGTCTGTACGTGTCTCCGCTAGGTGAGCCTTGAAGACTTCCCAATCCTTGGATGATCTCATGTGATAATTCTGGGGAGGATCATCACCCATCATCAGGATGACTGGATTATGATCTGAGTCAAGTTTCGACAAACTGTAAACTTCGCAGGACATGGAGACGTTCCTGAGAAGTGCGATATCAAGCACGTCAGGCCCTCTATCCCCATGGTAGAACGTGGGCTCATCTGGACCCATCACTCGATACTCATACCTGTCAGCATGCGCATGGAGCGCTCGGCCGTTCGCATTGGTGAGTCTGCTCCACAGATTTTGCTTGGCGATGAAGTCACCAGCAGCAATTGTGGGAGTATTTGTCGACATCAGCAGTTCATCCAGTGAATCTGGGAGTGGACGATTCTGCGGAGGGTTGCAACCTCTTCTCAGTTGGAGCTCAACGCCCACGGCTTCCGTGCCATGTAACTGATCCGAGTCAATGCCGAATTGTATGTGAGGAAGATTACGTTTGACAAAAATGCCAACTCCCTCTCCAACACGTCCAACTCGTTCTCTGTGGTAAAAACGGTAGTTTGGAATACCAAAAGGTTCATTGTGCAGGTGGGTTTCCTGTACCAGTGCAACATCGATTTTTTGTTGTATTAGAAAATTCTCAAAATCTAATTTCTTGTTTGAAATACGGTTGGCATTCCAAAATACAACCTTGAGAGAACTAGGCAATGTTGGTTGTCTAGCCATTAACAGGTTCCAGTTAGCACGTTGGTGTTCACCGTAAACATCTTTTCGAGTACGGGGAACTGAATGAAGAGTTTCTTCATCTGGTCCAGAGCGGAAAAGATGTCACTAACCTTCGACGGGCGGGAACTACTGGGCGCCTAGGTCGGCCTGGCGAAGGTGTTACCGCTCTGGCATATGCCAGATGCTCCGGCAGGATGCTTTCCAGGTATGGGTGCACTTCGGGGGGCATTTGAAGCTACTTTGGTCCTCCTGCGAACCCTGAGAAACTCAGGACAATCGCGGTAGTTTGCAGTAGCACACCCTTGCAATTATTGCACTTGGGCGGATCTGCTCGTGGCTTCTTGCACTCACCTGAAAGGTGTCTACCGGCGCATTAGACGCAAATGGGAATAGCTAGGCAGTTCCGTTGGCTATGCCCGAAACGCCGACATCGGTGACACTGCCCTACCAGCGTTTTTTGGTGTTGGGGCTCAACCATAACTTTAACGTTAAGGAGATCCCGGATGTCATAAATATGCTTCTGATTTTGGTTCACTTGAACCAAAACCAGGGGGAGCGGTTGATTTCCTCGCATCATCCTGGTGACGGATGATGGTTGGAAACCTTTTTCAACCAAGGCGTCCTCGATGTCAGCGGTCTCCAAATGTTCCGGGACTCCTCTGAAGACGGCTCTGATTTGCCTGTCTTCAGGTAAGGTATACGTGTGGTGGGTAATTTTTCCCTCACCAATAGTTTGGACATACTCCTGTAGTCCTCGGCCGAAGAAGGCTGAACCTTAATGCCGTCAGCCATGTTTACTGCCTTGATAAAGTTCACCTTATGGAAGGCAGCCAGCTTTGTGAATTGAACCCACTTGTCCTTCTGGTGAACGACAATTGGGGGAACGCGTATTTTTCTGGTGCTTTGGGGCACTTCAGGACGCGGAAGGAGGGGGAAGCTAGTTCCCTGATCGTTGGGGTTTTCAACCTGATTTAGATTTTGGGATGGCTGTTTTGGGCCACCCTGTATAGTCGAAATCAATTTTTCAGACCTATTGTCGTCAACCAACATTTCATGGTCACCTTCGACGGAAGATTCTGTTGTTGAGAGTTCTGACTCTGAATTGTTGTTCTTGGCTTCGTCCCGGAGCTTTGACATCTTATTAGCCACTTTTTTGGCCTTGTTACCGGTATTTTTGTTAACTGGAGCAACTGGTTTGGATGGAAGAGGAGGAAACTCTTCTGGAAGGCGACGCTTTTTGTTGGCCGGTTCTTGAGGCTTGATCGTATTGTCGTCGTTGTTTCTCTCAGACTGAGCAGAGAGGGTGGTGCCTACGGGAGTATCTCTGGAGGATACATTACGTGACGGACGCTCGAGAAGCTCCTTGGCTCCTGGTAGACGGCCAGAGGGCTCCCGAACTGCCGCCACGGAGCTGCTCCTTAGCAGTTCTGATGGACTCAGGCCTAGGCGATCAAGAAATAACCCTATGAAGGTAATTACTTCATCCATGTCCCTGGCCATCAGGCTGTCAAGCAGTTCCTCCATACTGCTATCGAAAAACTCACATCCTTTGATATCCTAAGGGTAGGCGATGAACAGTTCCGTGAAAGTGATAGTTTGAACGCACTCACCAGAAGTCTGAAGGGTCCTTGCGCACTACAACCGACGCACTCACTAATAGGAGATATATAACTACTGGTGAATGGCTGATCATCCACCAGAAATGAAAAAAACTTCGAAATTATCTCAGCGAAAAATATTCTGTATGTCAGTTTGACAGCTAACGTCAATTATACGACGACCAACCTGCACGTCGTCTTGATTTCAATCAGGTTGCAGCCTGGCTCCCTTACCCTTTGAACTGATGTTTGCCAGAAGGACAAACGGGTCATAACTGATGGTGGGTACGACGACCAAATAACCATCTTGATTTTATTCAGGTTGAAACCTGGCCTCCTTCCCCTTTTAACTGAAACGACGACCAAATGAAAATAATTCCAACTTGTCATAGAATCTCTTTGCAGTTGATTCAGTGGGATGTCCACTGCGCCACCTGCAGACTGAGCCAGGAAACAATTCCACAAGTATGCTCCGGGGTCGGAATAATAATTAATATTCCGAAGAGGTGCATTGTGACATGCTCCAGGTTGCCCCTTTCCTCTCATGCAGACCTACAACTTTGTAGGTACGTGTGGCAGATACCCAACGGAAAAACCCATCGATTTGGAAGATTCGTCGCAAATCGAAGACGTTGAACAGGTGCCTGATAGTTAAACTTCAACTCTTGCAAGTTGAAGAAGGCAACCAGCTCGCATTTCTCGATGTACTGATTATGAAAAAGCCGGACGGAACATTAGGTCACACGGTATATCGAAAGCCAACACACACGAATAGGTACCTAAACGCAAATTCACACCACCACCCAAAACAAATTCACGCGGTGGCAAAAACACNATTTGAATGATATAAAAATAAATGAATGTTCAAAATATATTCTTTGGAAATTCAATTAATCCTGAATGGTCTATAAAAATATGTCTGAAATAATTCAACTCAAAATTAAAATATATTTAATATACCACATGTTGACGAAAAGTTAATCACGTACATTAGACAATAATATAACCATCAAAACTACTGGAAGATTTGAAAAACCCACAGACAAAAATCAGTTCTCGCCCTCATCCGCTTCTTCTTCCTCGTCGAATTCCCCTTCTTCCTCTGCTGTTGCATCTTGGTATTGTTGATACTCCGAAACTAAATCATTCATGTTACTCTCGGCTTCGGTGAATTCCATTTCATCCATTCCTTCCCCTGTATACCAATGCAAAAACGCTTTTCTTCTGAACATTGCTGTAAATTGTTCAGAAATCCTTTTGAACAGTTCTTGTATGCAGGTAGAGTTTCCAATAAACGTAGAGGACATTTTCAAACCTCTGGGTGGAATATCACAAACTGCAGTTTTCACATTATTTGGAATCCATTCTACAAAGTAGCTACTATTTTTATTTTGAATATTCAACATTTGTTCATCTACTTCTTTCATTGACATTCTACCTCTAAATATTGCGGCAACTGTTAGATATCGTCCATGTCTAGGATCACAGGCTGCCATCATATTCTTTGCATCAAACATTTGAAGAACGAGTTCTGGAACGGTGAGAGCTCTGTATTGTTGGCTTCCCCGAGAAGTAAGGGGTGCAAATCCAGGCATAAAAAAATGGAGTCGAGGAAAAGGTACCATATTTACAGCTAACTTCCTCAAATCTGAATTCAGTTGACCAGGAAAACGAAGACAAGTGGTGACCCCAGACATTGTAGCAGATACTAAATGATTCAAATCACCATAAGTAGGCGTTGTAAGTTTCAGAGTCCTGAAGCATATATCATACAGAGCTTCATTATCGATGCAATAAGTTTCATCGGTATTTTCTACCAACTGATGAACAGATAGAGTGGCGTTATACGGTTCAACGACGGTGTCAGATACTTTTGGTGAGGGCACAACAGAAAATGTGTTCATAATTCTATCAGGATATTCTTCTCTTATCTTCGATATTAGCAATGTTCCCAATCCAGAACCTGTTCCTCCCCCTAACGAATGGGTCAGCTGGAACCCTTGCATGCAGTCACAACCTTCGGCTTCTTTCCTAACTACGTCTAGGACAGAATCAACCAATTCAGCACCCTCTGTATAATGACCTTTGGCCCAGTTATTCCCTGCTCCACTTTGGCCAAAGACAAAATTATCTGGCCGGAAAATTTGACCGAATGGGCCTGAACGTACTGAATCCATTGTTCCAGGTTCCAAGTCTACCAAGACAGCCCTGGGAACATATTTGCCTCCAGTTGCTTCATTGTAATAAACATTAATACGTTCTAATTGCAGATCTGAATCTCCATGGTAGGTTCCAGTAGGGTCTATTCCATGTTCATCCGAAATCACCTCCCAGAACTATGAAACAAGATTTGGTGAGAATAAAACTCTGGCAAAGACAAAAAGTCATGACTTACTTTTGCGCCTATTTGGTTTCCACATTGCCCGGCTTGTATGTGAACTATTTCTCGCATTTTACTTTATTTTAAGAATTTAAATTTTAACAAATACCAAAGTTATGGCAAATGTTTGTTGATGTTACTAGGGGTTCCAATTTCAATTTGTTTCAAAACTGCCGCCTCTGCGAAAACTAAAAACCTTTCTATGGAGAAATTTGCCCCAGAGTGCTAAGATCAACACTGCTCTGCTTTGACATAATCAGTCAAAAGCTATGTTTTTTTGGTACGATTTCGAAACCAGAACAAAGTTTCCTGTCGTTTTCTTGCTCTTTGATTTATCACACTAATACAGTTTATTGTAAAATTTTTACTATTCCTGCTTGAGGAAGCTATTGTATAGCAAAATTAAGCATAGGCCTGTTCCATTCAATTCAAGATCCCAGTAATTAGTTTTCACACTATATTAATCGACGGTATTTTGTAAATGGATTGGTGGCATTTCTTTTGAATAAATTATTTTGGTCACTCTACTGACATCATTTCGATAGCAAAAAATATCACTACTAAAGGCATTTAGGAACTTATATAAGAGGTTTCTACTTCTCCATCTTTATACAAAAAATGTGGAAAAATTCCAAAGAAAGACATCAATTAATTCCAAAATAAACTTTGTTTCTGAAAGTTACTTTTTTGCACGATCTACGATCGTTGTAGAGAGTTTATTTTGAAATTGATTGATTCCTTCATTTGTTTAGAGGTTTACTACATATTTTCATAAAGATAGAGAAAATGAAAGCCAAAAACTTTCTTTTCCAAAAATTACCCTCTCCTGAAAATACACCCCTTTCAATTCAAGAAAGAGATGTCTCTCACAGAACTTTATCTATCGCCAAAGTATAGATTATTTGACCACAAAGAAACATCGACTCTCTTAAAAGAAAAACATTCTTATTGACAAAGAACATGTAGCGATTGCGAAACAAAGGTCTGTGAAAGCCACTATAGAGTCAGCTTATTATACCAAAACGATTATACACGTCAAAAAAATGGTCTAGTTCCTCGAATAAATCACTGACTAACTTATGTGAAGGGTTAATATGGAGCAGGAACGGGATAGACACAAACAAAATCCATCGTCAGCAAATCTCCGAAAGATTGGTTTGTTAAAGTGGTTGTCACCGGTGCAGCTAATCACAGAACCGCCTATTACAAAACCAAGAGTGGCAACTGGCAACTATGGATGAACGACAAAATTAGCCTAAAAAAGTTAACCTATTCGTTTGTTTTGAACTCATGCGGCGAATTTTCAAATGAAATTATGGCGGTTTTAAATTTCAGGCCGTTAACAATATTAATAAATTTAATATTGATAATTGTTCCAGCAAACAGCTCCAAATTGAATGTGCCACGAGTGTTATTACCAATATTTAATGACTTTTCTACAACTTTTACTTTGGAAGCAACAGAAGGCGGTTGCTATAAATGGTAATTTTCTACTCTCTTAGTAGCTTGTTATTTTTGTTTTATGGTTTTTCTCTACAGGAGTACAACAAGAAACGATATCATACAACTAACTCCTTTAGATGAAGAGCCAGAACTGCAATGCTCCACAAAAGTTGTTGTCAGTACTGTCACTAAAGAGGCAGCCCGAAATATGGCTGTTGTTTTGGCAGAGGACGTCCACACAAAGCAAATGCTTAGATGTGATGTAATGGTTGATGTGATTCATGACTTATTAATATCGACCACAACTCGAGAACTTTTCATGGAAGAAGCACCAGAGGATTTTGAAGTAAAAGCTTTTGACGATCAAGGTATCACTATTTTCTTTCAATGAATTGTAGACACTGAAAAGTAGTTTTAGTTCTGGTCTTGATGGTGTATCTTTATTCTTTTTCGAAAAATGTGTATATACTTTGAATCTTCCACTATTTATACTTTTCAACTTATCACTAACAACTGGCCAATTTCCCTCATTTTGGGAAAATAGATTAATTGAACTCATCCATAAATCTGTTGACAGAAGCAACATCAAGAATTGTAGAGGTATTCATATTTTTTAAGTGGTCTCAAAAACATTTGATTGCCCTATTACAAAGCAATTATCGTGGCACTGACTCAACCTAATCAACAATGTGGGCTCTCCAAAGGCAAGAATATAGTTATCAATCTGCTGATATAATCAGAAGGGCATATTGGATGCTTTTGATAGTCGGTGTGAAGTTTAATCAATTCACTCCAATTTCTCAAAGGCATTTGATAGATTTAATTATAGAATCTTAATAAACTAGGAGCTTTTGGATTAGGGGGTAGTATTTTATCGTGGATAAAGAACTTCTCATTGGATAGAATTCAGTGGGCAAGACTTGATATATCTTTTGGATTCGGTAGATGATTGAAAAGTTTTTTACTCTATAAAATGAAAGAATTTTTTGTTAATGTCGTTTTGGGTTGTGGCAGTGGTAAGTTGTTTTGATGGATGTTATATGGTCATTCAACTGTCAAATTGGATTTTTTGTGATGCTTCAAGCAGACAGTCTCGATAATAAACATACTATATAGGGTAAAAATTTCATGTTTTAGAATAAACTGCGCCCGCCTTGTGGATAGGAATAACTAATGCAGTTTCCAGGACATCTGAGAATATTAATCAAATCTGCTAAAATATGAAGAACCTGATCAAGAAAGGTTTTCAGTTGTTTAAAGATATAGTTCTTTAATTTCTTGTGACTTTGTTTTTTTGATTTTAAAATTCTTCGACATTCATATAATCTAATTCAAATTCCTTGGGTATATTTACATCTTTCAGGTAATGGGTTATTTTGTATTTCTATATTGGATGTCAGTTTTTCTGCTACAGTGCAATTCAATCCAATTCAATTTAATTCTTTATTTATCCAATTTATTAACAACTTTTTTAGAGCAATGTTTACATATGTAACTTTCAATTTCTCTGAGAGCACTTGACAGGACACCTGTTCTTTCCGCCATATCAGTATTGCCATATCAATATTGAGAAAATTTGAGTCTATTGTCTATTTAAACTGGGAGTGTTTGTCTTTCTCCTCAAATCGTTGACTATGTCCTAGTTTTCTTTAGATTCATTTGATAATTTCGAAATTTATATATAGTGATACTTTTCTTTAACTGAATTGACAAGCGTATATTTTAAGGAAAGATCAATTTTCAGGGAAGAAAGGTTTTGGTGATTCTTAAAATATTGTTGGAAAGCTTCACTAGAAGTATATATCCAAAATTTGGAGTATTCTCATATTAGTGACACAGATTTTTATTCCTTTAATTATCCAGCTCTTTTTTTTTCTTTGATTTTTTGTATGGAGAAACATGTATGACTGTTTCACTTATGTTACTGATAAAATGAATTTGATATGGCGATTAAAGTGTCAACATGTTGACGATAGAGCAAATAAGGGCAGAGCCATGTAGTGTTACTCAAAATAAAAATATATTAAGTCAATTTCTAGGACAGGGTTGAATTATGAAAATTGTACTTCCAGTAGTGAACAAAACTTCCATTCCCTAAGGTCCCAATTGAAGTTATTGCATATATTGTAAAACAATTCCATTTCAATTTTTTAATTTATTCATCTCATTTTGTTATAGGAAATGAATTTTCAACACTAGAAGGTGTAGAATTTGACTGGAATATAGTTTCACTTGGACCTAATAAGGACACAGTTCTACGATACATCACATTTAGGGATTCTCCATATGAAACACCCCATGCTATAGCAAATCTAGAAAATGAAGGAAAAAAGGGGTACTCTATATTGCTAGAAGGGGTGAAAAGTGGATCAGCTAAAGTAGGTTCACTCAGTGAATTTTTTGTTGTAGAAATAATTGAAACTTTTAGGTTACCGTCCGCTTACCATACCCTGAATACAAACATGTTGATACAAATGAGGTTCAGTTGATGATTGTTGCAAATTTACTGATCACGCCTCCAGAAGTATATGTTATGCAAGGAGATACGGTACCTTTTAAGATTTATTTTGTAAGTACAGATCAATACATTTAATTTATTAATCCTCAACTGCAAAAAACAACTGATTTATTCATATCATTAGAATATAATTTCAGTTCAAATGAATTAAACCCTCTTATCATACTGATGAAAATATGATGAATTTGTGATTCTAGTGTGTGTGGTAGTATATTCTAAGTTTAATTAGAAATAGTCATATTTCAATTTTTTTCTAGTATTACTAGATTCAAAATTATTTACTTTCAGAATTAATATTCAAGATTATTGAGAATATTTGTCAGTTGTATTCCATATGTCACAACTACAATAAACAAATGCATTTGTTTTTGAATACTCCAATCAGCTGTTTGTTTGGAATATTTTGATTGTCAGATTTATGGCTATTATTATTAATTTTAATCAGTTGCCACAAATATTAAGGCAAGTTTTCATGTTTGAAAGTTACTTCCATCAAAGTAGTTAACCAATAAGTGTACCACTTATTTGTGAACCCCAAAATCCTAATATTTATAAAAAAGTGTACATATCTCGATTTTAGTTGAAAAATGGGCGTATGGAAGAAATTGTTTTACCTGATCTCCAGTATTATCTTGAAGCAGAAGATATGGAAATTGGTTCATCCAACAAAAAAACTGGCAATATTACAGCACTCAAAGAAGGTGACACTCGTATTGTCCTGCGAGATAGAAATGTTGGTGTAAACGATCCTCTGATGAAATTACCTGCAGCAAATTTTCATGTTGTTAAACCTGATTATTTGGTATTGAATATTTTACCTCACAGAAATTGGGCTGTTTTGGTTGGCGATCATCATGACATTGTGGCAGACTTGTACTCAAGGTGATAATCATTAAATAAAAGTATCTGACGTTAAACTAATCTGTATTAATTAACACGATCATCAACTTACACTTTTCTTTGCAGTTCGGATCACAAACTTTATGTTGGAGGATCAGTTAATATATACATGGAAGTTTCTCCGGAATTCCTAGTTAATTCTCGGTCACCCAATGGTAGCTGGTTAACAGGTTATGGAATAAAATCGGGAATAGCCACAGTACAAGCTTCTTTGGATGGTGTATTCAATGAAAAAACTGGCAAAGTAAGGTTTGACAAACCAGTCACTGCCAAAGCTGATTTAATGATTTACCCTCGAATCACCATCACCCCCTCTGAGGTTATACTTCCTTGGGACCCATTAACGAGGCCAAAGTGAGGGTTCAAACTTTTACTTAATGTGTTCAGATTTTTTCGATGTTTCAAGACTTCTAGCAAGTAATTTTTTTTCAGATATGCTATTGATTTGATCGCTAAAGGTGGAGATGGAAGATTTCTCTGGTCTAGCAGTGACCACAGTATTGGTATGGTTAGTCAAACGGGTCATGTAAAAACCCATAGCAATGGTTTCTTTGAGGTGTCTGCTGTAATGTTACGTAATCATCACAATCGACAATCTACCAAGTTTATTATTTTGCCTCCATCACGCCTTGAAATAGTTGAATTTGTTATGGAAGCAGAAGTTGGAGCTCCAGTTTATTTGCATATTGCTCTCTATGCAGAACAAGAAAAAGATGGTACAACCATTCAGCTGCCATTTACTAAATGCCAAGAATTACCCTTTCACATTAAGCAGTCAGATGCAAAATTTAGACAAAATAAGACTGCAGTACTACCTCCTGTTGGGATATCATGTGGAAATATTGCTATGACTGCTTTGGATGTAGGAACCAGCAAGGTGAGTTAAATAATTGTTTCATCAAAAATTATTGTAAAATCTTTACAAGTCATAATATTGTGAATTGAAAAAAAATCTTTTCAACCTCTTTACAGACTATGAATAATCATTAAAGATGCATGTTTTTGAAAAATGAAAACAGACTTTAATGAAAATAAAATATTCTTCGAATTTCATGCTTTGGTATCTATCAATAGACAAATAGAAATTTTTGCATACTTTTAATCAAAAGATCTCTATTAAAATTAAAGCAGTAATAGTTTTTTGAAAATAAAAGTGCATTGCATTGTAAAGAGACAATGTGCTATTTCCTCTTGACATGTGTGTGACATTCCGAACTTCTATAATAATAATACATAATGATATTATTAACATTACAATATGAAATGACAGGCATTTAGTATAGTTATTGAGGTATCGTTTATAGAAATTTATAACTTCAAAAGAATTGCTTTGTGGGTGATGTGTAAATGGTAACATCACGTGTTATCCACTTGAAATATTTAACCCTTTCTATACGAGGGTGTTTTTTATGCAGTTCTCCCTGTAAGCAGGTTTTTTTATTTGACGTATACATACGACAGTCGTACTCAGAACAATTATAATGAAAGAAAAATGCAAAATACTCATTTTATTCATAAGAAAAATCAATCTATTGATTCACAAAAAAAATTAAAGATAATTCTACGGTTTGAAGAAAGAAAAGATAAAGAAATTCAGAACGTCTTTTTGGTGTGATACAGCTCAAACCAAGGTGTCACACACAATCTGACGTTACAAATGTCGCACTGGTAAGTTGTTTCAGTTATTTTTTTATTCGCAGAACATACTGCACGCCTTCTAACGGGAGGTCTTACAGTAGGTTTGGATTTCGGTATCTTTTTTATGACGTGTCTTGCCGTGATTTGTAAAGGGTTAGCATAGAACAGAATTTGTTTCATTTTCATTGGATTTAATGTTTTCTGGCGGTTCATCGTGTTCTGGCTCATCATCCTTTTCCCGCTCATTATCTCTATGCCTCTTCATCTTCACTTTCTCCACTACTTAAGATACACTTGTTATCATCCACCTCAGCTGCTGAGGTTGTGAATAAGAGTTATATTACACCAGCTCAGCCGTATTCGTAAGACACTCGTGAAGCTGTCCATTATCATTTAAACTTGTACGATACTCATACTCACATGGAAGTACGTATACATATGGCACTCGTATAGAAAGGGTTAAAACTAGAGTTTCTTAGAGAAAAATAGACTTGTTGAATAGAAGGGTTACTAGGTGACACTAGAGCTCAAAAACATTGCAATCATGTTTCAGTACCATACAACTCTGTTTCAATCTGCCATAGATCATGTCAGTGATATTCAACTGGCTCATGAATGCAAAATTTAAGTTCGAGACAAAACACAAGCATTACAGGAAAATCTCTAAGGTGCTCTATGAGCGATGCCTGTGCAAAAGTAGCGATTCACGTTGGATTTGAATCGCTGGAGATTAAATTCGTTTGGAAAAATGTTCTCAGGAAGTTTATTCTAAATAAATGTAATTCTCCAAATGAAAGAGTTCTTAAACAGTGAAGTTCGAGGTGTACTGAGTTGAGCCTCAAAACGATGAGAAGCCAAAGAAGGTCTGATCTGAGCTTTATAAAGCATATAAAGTGATAGTACAAAGAAAAAATTGTTAACTTATTAAAAGGATTTCTGTTTGAACCTGTTTTTCCTTTAACCAGCTGTCGCACCCCTATGAACGACAACCCTTAGAAGGCGAAACTTGTGAGAGCTGAGGATTAACGAGGTCTTACCTTCCAAACTATAATAGAGTCTATCAACAAGTAGGTACTTCACCACCTTTTTGAAATGAATGTTGCTCAGATTTGCAGATCTCATTTCCAATGGTAAATAATTGAACAACTTACCACCATCATAATATATGGAATCCTTGGTTAAATTCGAAGTTGGGATGGGAAGTCTAAAGGTGTAATTGCTATTACGAGTAGCATAAGGAGTAGCAGCAACGTTGAACTTCGATTTATGTTTATAAATAAGGCAAACCGTCTCTAGGATAAAAAGTGCGATGACTGTTAGAATTTTATTGGCAGTGAACAAGTTCCTGAACGATTCTCTGGGTTTGACTTTACAGAGACATCTTAGTGCCCTCTTCTGTAATATCAATACAGAAGAGAGAAGGGATGAGTTGCATGCTCCCCAAAAAGGTATTCCAAGCTTTTGAGAAGCAGCATTTGTAATTCCAGCAACATAATTGTCTGTCCTGACATTATTATATCCGATTCGGAGATATTTGTCTTGGAGAACACCAATGCCTGGGTTTTCGCCACATTGAATTGATTATGATTACTTTCACCCCAATTCAATATCATTTCTAGATCCTCATTAAGATATGCAATCTCCTGCTGCTAATGAAGATGTGCATTCGCAGCCTGGAATCTAAATGGAATGACGAGACAAGTGTGCTGTCATCGGCAAAGCAATATATTGGATTCTTGTTCTTTATCAATAAGTCGTTGATATACAATAAAAAGAGGGTTTGAGCCAATATCGATCCCTGGGGAACGCCTGCGTTGATGGTAAAAGTATTAGAGAGATATCCATTGACGGTCTGCCTTCGGTCCTGAAATGGGAATTAGTGCAATGTGATAATTTATTTTTCTGATGAAAGTAGTATTTTTGGAGTAGGAAAATTTTCTATCGGGTTAAAAATTCTCATTTTCCACAAAAATCGGAATTTTCTTGGTCAAATTCAGCCAGAGGCGTGAATTTTCCCCCTTCCATTTATAAAATCCACCCTTATTTCGAATTAGAAGAAATATTCCGGACATCGTAAAAATAGAAATTCAGTATATTACATACACAGCAAGTAAGTTCAGACAACTACAAAAAACTTAAATGAAATACCATTCTTTGATGTGAGCTGAAAATTTCAAACATCTAGCGGGTCGCTATTATTGTCCATAACGTCTTAACATTATTAATTTCAGAGTCAGACAAAACAAAACTAGTAATGATAATAATATCTTTATTGTACAGACATTCACGAAATTATGGATTCAATAGTCCAATAAACATTTCGTTTTGGGTGTAAATTGTCTTTTTCAATAGTTCATTTTTATATATTGAGATAACATATCATACCGAAAAATACGTGCTTTTGTATCATGTTTCCAGCGCACTCGCTTGACTATGTAATTAATGAAAAAAGACAGACCCAAAATATTTTTGCGATTTTTCCGTCTTTCAGCATGAAAGGTTTCACAAGAGCTCTCCTGAGTAATAAGTTAATAACAAAGTAACTCCCCTTATGAAGATTCCATCTAGGAGATCGACAATGAAAAATCAAAATTCCCAACATTTAATATGTAATAAGTCTGCTTTATAACAAATAGGAATCATACTATTTTTCTATATCTAGGTCACTGTCACATACTTTCAAAATGGCAAAGCCCTAGAAGACTCCGTCACAGTAAGTGCATACAAAACATTGAATCGATTAGAGCCCAAGGGAGAAGTCGTGCTTGCTGTAGGAACATCCATCAATTTAGTCTTTGTTGGAGGTCCCAGACCTATCTTAGGTCGGTTATCTGACCATCAAAGAATTATAGTCAGCGAAGACGAAAGCATAGCTCTAGCATATGATATTACCCAATTCCATATGATGCCCAGAGAAGACCATAGCATAGTTCAAGTTTTTTGCAAAAAACTTGGAGAAACCGACGTCAAACTGATGATCTCTAATACACCCGAAGTTTCAAATTGTAAAACTAAAACGAGCAGTATCATTACAAGAGTTACTTGTGGAAAACCTAGAAAAATTACTCTTCAACCAGAGTTGAGAATAGCCGATGTTGATGGGTGTCCCATGGATTTGAGTTCTGGTAATGTGGTGGTGCAAAGCACAAAGAACATAGACATTGATGTAACTGTCTACGATGACTGTGGCAACAAATTTTTGAATATAACCAGCTTTTATTTGGATTGGAAAATAGATCCCGCAGGCAGTGGAGTGGTCCTTAGTAATACTGGAGTGTTTCCAAGGAACATAACCATAGGTGATGTTCCTGTCGGTAATAAATTCCATCAGACCCTTCAACCATCATTAGACAAAGGTAGTTTGGTACTTAATGTTACAATTCGAGGCTACAACCCATCCGTTTTGCATAAACATCATGTCACAGCGGAATCTCCACCATTCATATCTGCAGAAGACAAAGGCGTAGATCTTCCTCCTATTACCGCAACTCTTTCTCTGTTTCTTGTTGAGGATACCATTGTGTCTCCTAATCTTGTAACAATATTCAACCATCCCGGCAACAGAGTAACAGTTCCAGTAAAACAAGGATCAGGATATTTTGAAATGGCATTAAGCTCAGATGATATAGCTCTCATCAAATACTCGGAAAGTACTAAAGAAATAGAAATCAGTCCTCTGAAATCCGGGGAACTCACAATACAGCTTATTGACTTGTGTCTTGTTTCGAGGCCAGCAACACTTATTGTTAATGTTGTTTCTGTTGGTATTGTTCGAGTCGAAATGCCTGACAAAGTTGAAGTCGGAAAATGCATACCAGCGATTGTGAGACTGTATGATGAAAATGATAATTTGATGGATAGTCCTGAGTATGGAATGATCGATTTACAACCTGAATTTGAAAATAAAATAGCCAATATACAGTTGGCAGAGAGAAGTCCAACCAATCCCTGGGGAGTTGGTGAAGTACACTTCATTATCACAGGTAAGAATGTCTCAGTAGTAACAATATTTAAATGAATTACATAATAGAAAGTGGCATATATAGAGTGGTTTATTTATAGTAATGACGTTTTGATCAATTCTTGATGTTACCTGAAGATTCAGCTGAAAATATGCCTTTTTATTTATTTCATCAATCCTCCATATAAAGTGAGGGGTATAGAGTTAGGGGCATAAGTGGGTTATTTAATAGGATATTTCAAAAAAGTCTTGGATCTGTTGATTTTTGTTATAAACCTGTTGTCTTCAAACAATGCTGAGTCTGACTGCACCTTTAAATTTGAAATAGTAAAGTAAGGTCATCGGATAACCTATATTTCATTATCTATTTAAATGTTACTTAACATATGATACTGAAATCTTTATATGTAATGTTCATTGTTCATTTCATTTTTTACATAATTTTTTTTTATATTTCATTGTGCTAGTGTTATTATTACACTCATAGATATGTATATTAGGTTTCCTATTTCAATAAAGATTATTATGATTTTGCAATTTTCCACAAATCATCTTACAGGGGTCATATACAGGGATATGTCATATAAAATTCGTCCACGCATTCCTATCAGCATAAAGAATCACCATTCAATACTGTGTTTCCCAGACTATCAAATATTACACTCTCGGAAAATAATTTTCAGTGAGAACTGAGTTTCATAAAACAAATTGCTATCAACAACTGTTACAAGGTAGCTATTATCGACTTTACATTGACCAAACGGAAAAACTTTTTCCCAGAGAACAAAAGAGCATAGGAGTAGTTTTTTGAATTAGAAGATTGATTCCATATTTGCAAACAATTTTTTGGCAGCTCAGTCACGACAATAACGTGTTATGTTTGGAAGAGAAAGGTTTGAAAATCGATCTTTTGGGAACATTCACTGAATAACCAAATCAAATTGAATGTCAGTCTCCTTTATCAAATCTGTTTTCTAATGTTGAAATCGGTAAGCTCAGTTAATTATCATTCACAACATGTTCATTTAAATGTGTAAAATTTCACTCCTAATGCTATGTTCCTGCATGAATGATGCCACTGAAAATCAGTGATCCAACTGCATGAAACTTTTTAATACTTGCGATTTATGACTCAAGATTGGTGCATAAGTCCTAAAATAGAATAAAATTGACTATAATCTAACACATGTAACGTAAATTTTGAGGAGTTTTAAACATGTTTAATTAATCAAATCATTTTTAATTTAAAAAGCCGAGTTCCCTATTCAGTACTTTTGTGCTACATACTCCAAGAGGTAATTCAGGATACCCCTTGATACAGGAAATTTTCGACGTCATGATTTTGACCACCCTATAGGAGTTCCAGCTAACTATTGCTAAATTCTTCTAGTTAGCGAATCTCGGAAAAAAATATATTGACAATGGAACAAAGTTCAAAATCAAATTTTCAAATATTCAGCTTGGAATAAGAGCAGAGGTTTACAAATAGTTTTCTGATGTAAAAATTCATTGTGTACCTTGAAAATCGAATATCAAAAAATTTTTCGGAAAAGATGAAAAGCCACATTGAATGAATAACTTCAATTTCAAAAAGAAAGTTGAATAGAAGAATTGTTGGTATAGTTCCCTATAGTTTAATATTGACAGGATTTTAAATCCATTTCTGTCAATATCAGACTATAAACCAGTAATATTTTTTACTCTATAGACTTTCTGGTTACATTGGGTTATTATTTTATTGCAGGAGTGGAAATAGGTGAAACCAAACTTGTATTCTCCGTTGCTGGCGGTGATGAAGAAGTGACAAGTGCGCCTATTGATTTGCAGGTTTTCGAACCTCTTAGACTGTCTCCAAGAAATGGGTCAATCCTTGTTGGTTCCATGATACAGTTGGCAATTAAAGGTGGACCATACCCTGATACAAATGTTATTTTTGCAGTAGCCTCTTCAAAAATAGCAAGTAAGGGTTTTTGGCATATGTGTAACACTTGATAACTTGACTGTATAATTAATAAAAGAATTCCCCCAAATATCATTACTTCACAACAAAGTTAGTCCTAATAGGTGATGATAATATGAATGTCAATTTGATTTGAATCTTAATCAAATATGTATATCGCTATTATGAGGAACCACTATTAATTTATACGAACCAAAAAACATATTAGATATATAGTGTGTATTCGTTAATTTGAAAAACAATTATGACCTATAACTGAAATCATCAATGGAGCTCGATTGATAAAAAAACTCGTTAGTGTTTGTTGGAGAGGCTTAGGCTTTGACAACAGATGAGAGAGACTTACATTGAACAATGTTACTATCTGGTGAAACCAGAAATGATCAAGGTGTACTACAAAAAAGTGTCCTTGGACCTCTGTTGTTCATATTATATATTGATGATATAGTGCTTAATGTTGGAAGATGTTGAATTCTTTGTTTGCCAATGATTCAATTATATATTTCTCATATGCACACTATAAATATATGGTCAAAGTAATCAATGAGACACTGGAAAATATATGTAGATGGTGTTGTGTAAACTCACTGAAAATAAATATAAAAAACCAGAATTCATGTTAATGGAAAATGAGAAAGAATATAAAAGATTTATAAAAGGCCAGCTTCACATAAAAATGTATAACACTAAGATTGAGGCAGTATACAAATTTATTCCTCACAATGACATGGTGTGTTATTAATTGATTATTGGAATAGACATACTAGGAAACAAATTAGCAATATAATAAAGAACATTGGAATGTTTAACAAATTCGCAAAATATGTATGGAATATATAAAATATTGATAATACAGGAGATATTTGTTTAGATATTTTTAAATCTTGATTTACTGAAATTTTTCAATAAATTTATCAACTTAGCAGTCATTCCAATTAATAGATTGTATACAATGTATATGTAAGTGAGTCCAATACACTACTGTCCAATACACTACACTATTCAATATTTCGTTTCCTTAGACAATTTAAACATATTAGATAATGGAAGTCCGAACTAATGAAACACGAAACATTGTCAACCACCTTCAAACATTTCGTTTCGTATTTTATCAAGTGAATGAATATGTCATTATAGTGGCTAAAGTTTTAGAACATATTAGACCAAAATATTGGAACAATTTATTGGATATATATTTTTATTCCCTTTATCAAGACATTAACTTGAGGTTATAGTAAAAAGTCAGACGTGGCAATGAGAAAAACAAAGTTAATACTTTTCATCATGTAGAAAAGTGTCACACATTCAATTTAAAGTTTGAGAGAAAAAGTACAAAAAAACTTATTTTATGTAAACATTTAAAATTATTTCGCTGGCTATGCTTGGCACTTACTCGGTGGCGTGGTAGCAACCAAAAAGTCGAGTAAGTGCCAAGCATGGTTAGTGATATAATTTTGAATGTTTAAATAAAATGAGTTTTTTGTACTTTTTCTTCAAACTTTAAATTGAATGTGTGACACTTTTCTACATGATAAAAAGTATTAACTTTGTTTTTCTCATTGCCACGTCTGACTTTTTATTATAATCTCAAGTTAATGTCTTGATAAAGGGAATAAACATTCTCGAAAGCTTGAGCATATAACAAAGAGTATTTATTCTTTAAACAACAGCCCAGTAAAAGATAAACAAAATAAAATTTCAAAATTTTTTATTTTTCACTTATATCTACAGAACCAAAAGAAATATAATCAAAATTCTGGTATTATTCAATAGTACTCTAAGACAGGCATTGTTACTACTTACTAGTGGTCCTGTATGAATAATTATATAATTGGTATATAATTTTGCAATTAGTTTTACAACTTTATTCTTTCACAGCCGTTTCCGAAAAGGGGCTCATAAGAGGAAAATCGATAGGTCTAACTAAAATTACTGCTCAAGCAGTGGGAATTCACCCTTCTACTGGACAAAAGGTTATATATTCAGAAGTAAGTTTTTTCAGAAATAGTAGTCTCAAACTACAAATGAATGAATATCACATAATTCTTTCAGGATACAGTGGAAATTCAAATTGTTCAACTGCAAGCTTTAAAAATCGTGTCATCCCTACTCAGATTCAAAGTGGGAGCCACAGTACCTTTTTGGTGTGTTGGTGTACCTGACATATCTCCCATGATTCTTGGATCATTGGAAGATCCTCCAATACTTTTCAAGTGGACTGTTGATGACAAATTACTTGTAGATCTGAGTGGAGTCTTTCACCCAATAGGGGTATTCAAGAAAAAAACTGACCGGGTAGCTGCAAAGGTTCTCGGTTTGGTACCAGGAAAAACAAGACTATTTGTCAATGCTACAGTGCCTGGTCCAACTCTCAACATTCAGAATATTGAAACAGTTATGTTATCTGCTTGGATTGACATTGAAGTTATTCAATCATTCTCGTTTGTGTTTCCCAAAAATTTTCTCGGAAATTCACTGCTTATGGCTCCGTTCTCAGAGGTACAATTAGAAACTAATATGGATAGTACTTCATCAAAAGTAACATATTTGTGAGTATATTTTTTTCTACTGAGCTATACTTGAAGAGACCAGGTTCATCCCATTGGGTCCTTGAATAATGATAATAATACTTTAAAAATATTTATGTTACGAAACATAAGATAATAATTAACTCAAGAAAATGTTACAGTTTATGTTAGGGGCATAATATGATGTATACTCAAACTATAAAAAACTAAACTAATTGTGATATTTGTGATATTTTCCCAAATTAGTTTACAAAATCATTTCGCAGACTATTACATTTTTCACTATCAGGAAGTAATTTTCATAGAGAAATAAGTTTCACCAACTTGCTGTCAACTGATACAAGGTGAATATTAATGACTCGATTCTTTCTAAAAAAAAATACAGAAACAAGCTATGAACCAGGTCTATCCAACTCTAAGAATTTATAGTAGTAGCATCATAGGACATTCCCCTACCTCGGTTAGGCCACCTGATAATATTGCTCGTTTCTATAAGAAGAAAGGTTATGACTTAGTTCAGAGAACAAATTTATTAAAAACAATAAATACATAATTTCAGTGTCAGATAGATAAGTTGACTTGTTGTTCTTGTCCAAAACTTCTCCAAAGAATAAAAGAACATAGAAGTAGTCTCGTTCCCTGTACTAGTTTGTACAGGTTCTGTGTTGGATGTTCGTCATAATCTTCTGGGCGTAATTTTGTACGTCCATATATTGCCTGCCTCCCGTGATTCAGTGCCTCACATTCGCATAATATGTGTAGAGCTGTTTCTGTCCCTTCGTTGCATAATCTGCAGTTGAGGTCTCCGTTGTACAGCCCCATTTTATTCAGGTGTCCTCTAAGCGGACAATGACCGGTTAGTAACCCTGTAATTATTCTGAGCCGATCCCTACTATATTGAAGTAGTTCTTCAGTTATTTTCTCGGACGGTTCCCTAATGAAGGTTCTACTGTGTTTGTTGCCAGGTACTTTTGTCCAGTACTCTGTATGTTTCTTATTGGTCCATGTCCTAATCTGGTTTCGTACCAATGATTTTGGTATCCCCAGAGCTGGTTCAGGACCTATATATGAAGTTGATGACCCGCGTCTAGCGCATTCATCAGCTTTATCATTACCTGTGATTCCTTAATGCCCTGGCACCCAGAGGAAGAGAACTTAAATATCACCAAGACTTTGATACCGGTACTTCATAACACAAAGGTTCTCCCAATAATCGAAAAATGGTCGGACAAATCAGGTAAAAGAGCAGTCAGCCTCCCATTATGATCCCATTATAAGTACAAATACACCAGGACCATTTTTATTGCGCATTGCAGAAAGATCACTTAGACCGTTGCCGCATCATCTGCCGCAGTAGCAGAAGAAACATCAGACATAAAAACTTGCAAACCCAGAAACGTCCGACAATATATTCTTACTTTTTGTAACATATTTAGAAAACTTGGAATTATCAAAAACAAAACAAGAAGAATTAAGAACTGGAAAAATCACCAGATAATTTTGATATATTTATTGACATGAAACATTCAATCAAAGATTTATTGTTATGGTACATATCGAATACTATAAAACTTCTTCTCATATTTTCTTAAATAACAATTTTATTTGTGGAAAACAGAAAACAGCATTTTTAGTTTTCCCTGTATAACTGTTCTGTTCCCCACGATAGTTACTTTTTTCCCATTTATCATCTTCATATCTGCTCTTGTTATTAATTAGATCAATTCTGAAATAGCTCCCTTTGAAGTTATATATTTATGTATGAATATTTCTTGTATGAATGATTCCCCCTATAAACCACCTTTGTAAGTTCTTGGGAATAAATAAATGAATATACTATTACTAAAGAATGTAGCAATGTTACCACATGATAAAAGAAACGGCCTGTATATATTTATTTTCAAGAATCAACACTCTTTTGAACGTCACTTGACTCATCATTTTTATGGCACAAGGCACCCCACTAACTGCCATCTATCTAACCTATTGAAAAGATAGCTCTCTGTTCATGCATGAAGTTTCATAACCATCTATCCTCCACATTGAGAATTAATAAAACAACCTCTTATCAGTTTACCGTGTAATCTAGAGCCCTTCCATATTTAATTTTCAATGACACACTTTCTTAAAAATAAACAACGAAAAAATATGTAGTCAAGTATTTGCATTATGCACTTTGGTATCTATTTTTTTACTACCTTTCATATTTTTTATGTATATAGTGCAATAAACTAGTTATTATTAAAATTCGTTAGGATCAAACTTTTTGAAGTGAATTTCCTCTGAGAAATCATACAGTTCTATTTTTTCAGCTTACCAGGAGACAAAGCACCTTCTACTGAACTACTTGCTGATAAATCTATAACGTCCGATATTATTGTTACCGTCACACCTACAGGTTTACTGCAGTCTTATGGTGTTCTTGGTCATGCACTCCTTATGGCCACAACCACCGATGAGCAGGGCCTCAAGCAGTACTTATCAATAGTCGTTGAAGTGAAACCGATCCAGTATATGAATCTGAAAGTTATTGCCAATTGGCGCATACACTCTGATAGTCCTCTCAGGACTCTGCCACTAGGTACCGAATTTCAACTGAAGGCCACCTTTCATGATAATATAGGAAATACATTCCATGGAGGCCCTAAACACTTGAAAGTTAGAACCAGTAGGTGTGATTTGGTAAAAGTAACCGAAGGTAGTGAGGATGCATCTGTTTGGATTTATACTAAAAAAGAAGGGAATACGATGTTGAAAGCATGGGCAGAAGGTGAGTTGACTGTGATCATTCAAATTTAACATCTTAATGCACTGATTCGGAATTACAACAAAACACTATACTTCATATACACTTTCTAATTATCACACTTATTTCACCTGTTGATTCGTCGCTTTTTTCGTTCTTAAACTATACCGCATACTATAACTCTAAAAGAAACTATGTTTTATTTTGACGAAGGTACCAGATGAAGTTGCAGGAAAAAATATTGAAAAATACGTAAAAACCTGCACAAATTCAGACAATATCAATGTGAACAAACTATAAGTTCTAGACATGATAACCAATCTTTCGTGGTAGGAGTTGAACCCCATCTTAAGAAACAAATTTGCAAAAGTACCTACTGGCCTGAAGTGAAGTACAATCACATCAACTTCAGACTTGAATACAAACATGAGGATGTCATCCTAAAAACATTCAATAAATATATGGCCATGTGAAAAAATTCTTGAATTGTCTATTTTCTATCTGAATGCTCCATCAGTTGACAAAACTGAGTTAACTATTCTATAAGGAGAAACACTATCATTTAGTTTGTATATATGATGTATAAATAATATATCATGCAGTTATAGAGTCAATAACTCGGAGTTTTATGAGTCAAAGGTCTTACTATTACCCAACAAATCTCCAATTTTGAAACATTTATTAGGATATGCCATTTATTGAATAGTATAGAATCTCAGTTTTATTCCTCCAATCAACAATGAAAATGTAGAAAACTATCAGAGTGTGTGTAATCAGTCAGCCATTTCAAAATTGCTATACAGTTCAATGTCAGTTGTCAGTTCAAAAACATTTGATTGATTAAGACAAAAAATTCTTTATTGATTTATGGAGTTTCATTCATTGCAGCACACTATTAAAACTTATCAGAATAGTGAATTGCAAATATTCTTAACACAAGCTGGCACCCACGCCTACACAGGTGCCCACGCCTTCTCATGTGCCCACGCCCACTCATGTGCATGCGCCCACTCATGTGCCTACTCATGTGCCTATGCCCACTCATTGTGCCCACGCCCACACCCACGCTCACATTCGTCCACACACCCCCCCCTTAAACGCGCCTCACCCACACTCCTACGTACGTGCGCGCGTGCACACTATATAAATTTTAGTTCTAGTGTTGAAAACACTTTTTTGTCACGAGAACAAAGATACTGTCTCTCGACGTGCGTTTCATAAACCAAGTTAGTACCATTAGCAGATGAATAAGACTACTGTATCATTAAAATCCACTACCAATGTACCTACCTTAAAAAATCTCATGCACGATTATTTGTTATGCTTTAATTCCACAAACTATGAAAAACACTCACTAAAAGAACGTAGACAAGAACAAGAATATAACACATTAAAAAATATTTAGGTAATATAAATTTGTTATTGGAGATATGGTTTCACATGGTATAATGTTAGATTATGTGAAATACTGTATCTCTTTTTTGATAATTATGTTATGCACTTATATTTATATTGGTCCACATTTTTTTTAATGTGATTTTTACTGTAATGGGGTTCATTCACAATGAACCTCATAAATAAATAAATTTTCGAAAGGAATATTTTTGTTTATGAAAATTTCTGGTTATCATCATAGGTATCCAAAAAACAGCAGACTACGTGAAAATTAATGTTGAACAATCAGTGAGACCGATTCTTAGTCGATTGACAACTGGGGATGTGATATGTTTGTGGACTCCTGTAGTTACGGAATATAATGCACCTGGAACTTGGAAGAGCAGTGACATCACTTTAATGCACATCAATCCAGCTCTTGACATAGGATTTGTTGGAAATAAAGAAGGAGTTGTTATTTTGACACATTCTCTATTACAATCTGCTCCTATTCATATCCAGATAGACCCAGTGAGTGAGATAGAAATTTTGGAAGATCCGAATTTGATATTAACAAATGGCATTGAAAACAGTGTGGTCAGAGTCATTCTAGTCTTGCAGAGTCAAGAGACAATTGGCATCAAAACTAATAACCTGGTAAGTCATAGAAAACAGTATATGTATATTGAGACATAGGTAAACATCCATTCCCTCCTAAAATACAGGAGTAGAATTTAAATGAGATATTGTAAATCTAACATTCAAAATAAAAATAGTGAAATGTATATTTTGGAACCAAAGTATTCATGGAAGTTCATTTTTAACGAACATAATGAATATCATTTCTATGAAAACACAAAACGATTGACCCATGCCAAAACACAGAAATGAAAAATTGATTAACTAGGAAGCAAAAAACGGGTAAGAAAAGAAGTAGAAACTGTGTTTGCTTATAATATATCTCCGGAACCAGTGATTTTTCGTTTACATGTCAGTTATTGTGTTTTAGCATGGACCAACAAAGAGTTCACTTGAAAAAAACATAATTTTGATATTGAAGTGAGATGCACCGCTATATTTCTACAATATTGCCATTTTTTGTGGAAGAAAAAATCAGTTTTTTTATCGACCTTTTTTTGGGTAATTGTTACCTTNGAAACCAAAACGTACCGGTTTTCCCTTCAGGAACATTTTTGCCGAATGACGACCAAAATAGGGTACCATTTGTTCATCAATCGACAGATGATGTCTGAAAACACCATATTTCAAGTAATTCGCATTCAAAATATCAACTAGTGGTCGAACTTTGGCGAATTTGTCTTCCTTATCCAGCTGATTGTTGTCGGCAAGGTGAATATCTCGCTTTATATCAAGAAATCTGTTTCGAGACATTGCATCTTTCACAAATTGAACTCCTTTATCTTCATCAGAAGACCAGTAGAGTTGTAATTGTGGAAGAGTGTGATATCCACTCAAAATCAATATTCCAAAAAATATCTCTAAGTCACCCTGTTCTAACTCAAAATTGGGACGGTTATGATCTCTGGAATATTTGATGGAATTATTTATTATCAACTGCATCACTTCCCCATCAAACATTTGCTTGAAGAAATCTAGTACTGATTTTCCATGAAGTTCCTCAACCATAGATTTTACGTCCCTTTCCTCATTTGAAGTAGCATCAATCTCGTAGTCGACACCGAAGCGGCAAGGATGCCGCTTTTTTTGGTGGAGGCAAAGCTGCCTCATGAGACATATTTTCTTCAAATTCGCCATCGTTAGCCACATGCATTATTTCAAACGTTCCTGCTAAATCTGCAGGCAAATTTTCTAGTTTACCTGTCACATCCTCGTTGATATTCTCCTCATCCGTAAGATCATCGACTTCGGGTGGTATATAACAAATATCAATATCATTTTCCTCGTTCAGGTCCAGATCTTCAACAATTGCTTCTAGTTCTCGAAGAGTCAATGGTCTCTTCCAGTCGTTATTGTTCATTCTACTCTGAAACAATTATAAAAATTCGAAATACGCACATTGGACAACAAGAAATACTCACTATTACTCTGCAGTCCTCAAGATGACGATATTCTAATGCACGATAACCTTCTCAACATTTCTATAGCACTGCGCATATGAGAATAAAATGGCCCTACCTAGTACCTACGCAACGAAAGAACAGTGAAATCGTCCAGACGTGAAACTACAAGTTCCGACAGGAAAATTGACGACTTCCACAACTACTGTTCGTTTTCGCAACCATATATTCAAACAACTTGAAAAAAATGTTCCACAATAATTTTATTCTCATTCGGCAAATGAGTATTATTTTAGGAAGTTTATTTCGTATGAATATTTTGATAAATGATGAAAAAAGTCAATCGATGATTTTATAATGACTTTTTATTATTATCGAATTTTTTGGTGGAAAATTATCAAGGAATGGTTATCGTCATACAAAATTTCAAATATTTTTCAGTACTAAAAAAATTAATTTCAGTATATTTAGATATTT